ATACAAGTGCAAATGTTGCTGATAATTCAAATGAAGTGGAATCAGAATCGGAAAAATCAACTATTGCTGATGATAATCAGTCTGTGGACTTAAGCCAATTTAAACAATTAAGTAAAAAGAAGAAGAAAAGACGAAAATACAAGACTGCTAATCGCGAGATAATGGATAATCAAGTTATAAGTAGCAAAAATGCTGATTTAGTTGGTCCAACAACTCGAAAAAGAAAGATAATTTCTGTGAATTTAATTATCTTAAGTGAGTTTGTAAACTCTGAAAATTTTAAAATTAGCGATGATAAGTCTTTGCAATTAATTCGCGCTCAAAGTGTTAATACAGTTGAGAGGGAGTTACTGTTTGGGGAAGAAGGACATTCACTTCCAATTGTGCCTCCATTGTCTTCAGTTGACAAATTAGTCCAATTGTCTTTTGGAAATTCTATTTCAAATTTTTCTTCAGTTTATAAACTAGTTCAATTCAATTCTGAATTTTTCTTGATTTATTCTTGTGAATCTTCATCAGTTCCACTTAATTCAGTTAAATTAAGTTCAAATTGTTTAAACTTGTGTGATTTTGATTATAATCAAAGTGGTAAATTCTCTTTAGAATTTGGAAATTTTGGATTTCCCATCAAGTCTGTAGACTCATCGAGCTTTTTTAAGCTAATTGTGAACTGTTCATCAAGCTTTGTTAAGCTAATTGTGTTTAACTTTGTTGAATCATTCAACTGTGGTAATCATCTTTTTGAACTTTGGTCAATTTTGGAAATCGAACTTTTTGGTGTTCTCTTTGTAAGTCTGTCGACTTGTGCTGTTCTTTCCAATCCAGTTTATAAACTTAACTTTGATTCAACTTTAAATTTTGGAAGTGATAATTTTGTGATTATAATCATGTCTGAGTTTGTTGATCACTCTGGTAATGACAATTCCAATGATTCCTTCTTGTGTGATGAAGGTTCAATTGTTTCAAGTGAGGTTCTGTCTCGCATTTATGCTGAAAAACTTAAGGACATTCCAAAGAAGGCTCCGGTAATTACAATCAATGATGATGATAATCAAACTGATGATAAACAAGATGGTAAAAGTGATGGTAAAGTTGATAATAATCAACCCTCAACCTCTGATGGTCGAAATTCTGACCCTAATGTTAGGAAACATTTGCTTTCCATGTTATCTTCTGGATGGGGAGATGAACCGATGGATGTTGATTCTGGTGCTAAGAAAGTTCATCCATATTTTACTTTTGGTGGTAACAGTTATGATAAAAGAGGTATCAAGGATCCACTTCCTGAAACTACTGCATTTGGCCTCTGTACAATTGATACAAGATCGAAGGACAACAGTCCATATCCTCCGCCTGATGCTAATCAGATGCGCTTCAATTGTAATTTTCCGGCTCCTAAGCCCATTGATGAAAGTGAGTTACCTCATTACAATAGAGTTGATTACTTTATCAAAGCTCAAGATTGGGTAGAAGAAGACATAAAGAAGTCTGAAAACGATAAAGCCTGGTTCGAGTCTTTTATCAAAGAAAAGATTCAATTCAACGTCGCAGATACTAATCTGGATGGTATACGTTTCGAATCACTCAGGAAAGGGTTTGCAGCTAGTCAGGTAATTCATCCTGATTTGACAAGATTGAAAGAATTGGTTACTTGTCAGTTATGTGAACAGATTGCACTAAACCCTAAAATTTGTAAGAGTTGCACTAAACTCTATTGCATTGGATGCATTCGATGGCTCCAATCTTTGCCTGGTGATATTGGTTTGACTAAAGTCAATGCAGCAAATCAATTTATGTGTATCAATTCAAGATGTTTAATCGCTATCGAAGTAAATGGTTACCAAACCTATGGCGAGGTTGAAGATGCAGAAATCAGAAAGTTATACTCTGAAGCCACCTTTACATGCCACAGACAATTCTGTGAAGCCCAGTTAAAAGTTGATCATATTCTGTATCATCTAACAAGATGCAAGAGAGGTCCAATCGTCTATGAGTTTGACAAAACTCTGCAGTTAAATTTCGTATCTGGTCCTGTTCGTGAAGAACTGAATCGAAAGGCTGTTACATTGAAAAGCATTTTGCCTGCTCACCTTAAAATTAAGGAACCTGTTCTAACTCATGAACAACGATGGCATCGAAAAGCATTGGGTTATGCTTTCTTTTCTAAGAATTTCAAATTGAAGCCTCAAGAGTTTCACCCAGAGCTAATCAGAGCTCAAGCTGGATTCCAATCCAATTACTGGAACAATGTCGCTAGACAGAAGGATCCAACTGAACCAATCGATGAGGGTGAACAATTTGCTTTGGCAATTGGCTTTCCAAGCTGCTCCAAAGTGCCGATTCCAGACGTCAAAAGACGATGGCCAACCACTCGATGTCCTCGAGTTCCTAATTATTTAATTGATTACTCGCTCAACTGGAAAAGATGGTCACGATACGTTGAGCCAAGGGATGACGATTCATTGTCTACAACTTCTTCAAATGTTTTGTATGCAATTGATGTTGAGGATACTCAAACGCCTTTTATTAGGATTGATCCTTACGAACGTCTTGCCCCTGCTGATGCTGAAGTAATTCAGGAATGGTTGATGGAAGCTTTTCCCTCATGTATGAATCCGAGATCTATTTACAAGGCGCCTAACACTTCGACGAAGGAGAATACGATTTATCATACGAAGGTGCGAAGAAATATGCTTGCTCAAAGTTTTATTAATAGGCCAAAGCCTAATCTTCCTGCGATGTTGGATGACCAACTCAAAGTCATCAACGAATGTTCTGCGAAAGTTGCTGATAAGCATTTGATCTTTTCAATTTCAACAATGAATATTTCTGTTTGGGAAAATGGAAGGATGCGACCTCGACCTTGTTGGGTATTAATAATGGATGGAAACATGGAGGTAATCTATGAAACATTCGTAAGGTATCGAGAGATTGAGTACATAGACTCAACTTGGCATGGACTAAGTCCCGCAGATTTAAAATATGCCCGAAATCTTTGGATTGTTCGAGACCAAGTCTTGAAATATTTGGCTTGCGCTAGTAAGATTGTTGGATACGGGTTGATAAACCATTTGAACAATCTTGGGTTCACTGCTGATGAAATTCGTTCATTTCATCCTAAATTGAGAGATGTAAACAATTTTTACTCTCCTTACATCGAGCATCCTATGCATTTGAATGCGATAGCATTTCTTTGGTTCACTGGATATACGCTTCCGGTTACTGCTCATTCGCCTGCTGTTGAAACGACTACAGTCTTAAGATTATATTATTTACAATTTGATGAAATCGAGCGAATGGCACATAATTGCAATGGTATTCATAATGAAAATGTTCAGAATACTTGTGGAAACCGAGTTACTGCAGCTCTATTATACGAATTTGATCAAGGTTGTCAAAAAGGAGTTTGCAATTGGCCTGTTGATTGGAGTAATCAACCTAATCGAAGAAAGAGGATTCCAATCCCGGTTTTCAATGACAATTGTGTTTTACCTGATCAAGGAATGTTGGTTGAAACTGCCAACTTATGCAAGATAAACTTGGAAGTTTTGAAAAGACAAAAGTCTGTCAAGTTGCCCTCACAATCACCAATGGCTCGCGCGAAGCGACAAGCTGCAGCAATTGAATATTGCAGAAAAAGTGCCCGAAAGTCTATCGCTGAAACTATCGCTGAAGCTGATAAAGAATACGAAGAGAAGAAGAAAGCCGAAAGAAAAAGAATCGCTGAGGAGGATAATAATCCCAATTCAACTAAAAGTTTCAGAAGGAACTCGACTGGTTCAATGAATCCAAATGACTCTGCTGATCTAAAAGTTATTCAAAGTTTTCAAACTTCTGGTGCCTCGAAAAAGACTGTCACCTTCGCAGATTCAACTATGCAAGCAATTCCAACTGATGATGAATGGAAATAATTTTGGGTTCTTAATCATCGAGGAGGGGATGTGAAGGGTAGAGTTGCCCAAAATCAATCCCAATCATAATCATTTGATAATAATCATTCTTTCATTTAATCTTTGATTTCATTTTGTTTAGCTTGTAAGCTTATCTTTGTTTAAAACATAAATTTTGGTTTTGTAATTTTGTAATTATCCCTAACAATGACATCATAAGATTGTTTACTGTTGTCTAAGAGATAGTTGTCCATAGCTTCTAAGCTTACAACATCATTCCTTTTCCTTTTTCTTTTGTTCTTTTCCTTCCGTTTATTAACGTATATAATGGGTTCTCTAATTTGAGTTTAATTGTCTTTTGATTTATGTCTTTAATAAGTCTCTTTTATGTTCTACAGTGAAAATATCCTAGTTCTTTTAAATATTGTCAATCAACAGAATCGAACTGAATCTAAAAAATATAAGTGTTTTCAAATATTGGTTTATAAACCACTTTCATCTTCATCTTAATTTTCTCTAAAATTTGGGTTTACTTTTGGTGTAATAAAATATCTTTAAGTTTTCTAAATTGTGCTTCCAATCTTCTTGAATTTGTGCCTAAGACTATAGTCTAATTCATCTAAATGAGTTCTTCAAGTGATGCTCGAAATCACAGCTCTTGAACTGTTCCTGATAGTGCTGATAATAATCATTGAATTCAACTTCTCGTGTTTTAGTCTCTTTTGGTTAGAGTTTGGAAACTCATTTCAACTCTAGTTTCATCGCTTTCTAAAGCTAATCAACGAGATAAGAGGTCAAGCTTATAAGCTGAGTTACTGTTCAAAACCAGTTTAGACTATTTCTAATTCTTGTCCAGAGACATTCCTGTTGACCAGTTGTGGTTTTACCCTTTACTAATCCTTGCTTAGTAATTGTACCTTTTGTTTGACTTTGGTTTTATTTAAGAGTTTGAAAACTCAGTGATCCTAAAAGAACCTGATATTCAGGATTTGAAAGGCTGAATAAATCTTCTGAGTCTATTTGAATTCAACTTTAATTGTGATTAAATTTAATTGTGTTTAAATTGTGCTCTGCGTTTGCAAACGAACTGAAATTATAACCTTTCAATGCGTTCATTAAAAGAATCAACTTTCCTAATTAAATCACAATTGTTGGCTAAAGTTAATTTACAATCAATTATGGGTTTACAATGAATAAATGGGTTTGGAGAGCAAATGAAATGACTTAGAGTTGGTAAAACTAATTGGGTGATAACAATACAATATATACATATATAATTAATGTACAGCATTTTGATTAAATTACAAGTTGCAATTAAGATGATTCTTGTTTCAATCAAATGAGAATAATTAGAATGAAAAAAAAGAGGTTAAAATGAGGAAAAGAGCAAAATTGAAGCTTGATAATGATTCTTCTTCAATTTAACTTTGACAAAAGAAATTAGTTTACATTGATATTTTTTATACAATGAAATGTCAAGTTTGTTGGTTGGAATCAGTCAGATCCAAACTCATCATCATCACCATCATTACCATAAAGAGTTTTGTTTGTTTACCTAGTTAACTTAATTGTTATTGCAATCAAATCAAGAGGTTTGTTACTTTCCTTTTGGTCAACCAATAAACGCATCAACATTAGAGTTCATTTTTTCCTCTTCAACTCAACTCTATCTCTTTGATTGTTAGACTTTCACTTTGTTTGTCTATTATTATCATCAAGATAAACAGAGTCAACTTCATGATAATATCCTAACATGAATCTTTCACCCACTTACTTACATTTGCTGGAAATAGTATGTACAACAAAAATAAAGGCAATGAGAAGAAGAAGAAGAAGAAGAAGAAGAAGGATGAAAAAATGCGTGACTTTTGCTCTTCTTTTTCGTTTTTTTTCATGAATGAAAAAAGAGGAATCATTTAACATCATTTACCTAGAACCTTTCCTACATCAAATTTACCATCAACATCACCATTTACTTGTTATCCACATCTATTTACACGCAATTTATTATGGCACAATTAAAATTCGTTGTAATCAGGATTGAGATACAACCAAAACAGAGACCAAAAAAGCCAACATGAGAAAAGTTGTAGCTAATTTATCTTCAAAGGTAGTGTGAGAGTAAAAATTCATAGGTGACAATGAGAAGCAATGAAAATGGAAATGTTGATATGTAACTGGCACTCATAATGTTAATGAATATGGTAATGATGATGATGTTGATGATGATGATGATTGTGATTATGCTTTAATGGTGACTATTTGACAGTGAGTAGTTATTTTAACATCAAAAATAATGCACATGATAAAATCATTCCAAATATTAGTAAAGCAGCGATTCCAATGCCAATCCCTCCAACCAGCAATGCATGTGATTTAACAAAATCTTTCATCTTTTCATAACAATCCTATTGACAAAAAGAAATAAGTTATTAATAAATTTAATTCAAATCAATCAAATCTCGAGTTAATTCAAGCATGTTACATACATCCATAAAAACGTATCTTTCCTCCAATTTATCTCGTATACAAGCCTTTCGTTGCTGAGGATCAAGTGGGTTCTTACAACAACTTTCAGGTACTTGAGGTCCACTCAATCTAAAATTATAGTTTCTCATCCAAATTTTGTAAGCTTTTTGATCACGATTAAATCGGTTACCAATATTAGGAATAACACCACAACAATTGAACTAAAATAGAAAAGAAAATTTGATAAATACCAAAATAGAAGAAAGTCAAATAGATATTTCAAAACTTGGGTTAATCTTTGCTAAATTCATTTTCTTCTGAAGTTTATAAGTTACTTTTCCTTCGGATCTATCTCTTAGAGTTATAAACTCACATTTCGTTGAACAGCATCCCAAGATTCAGTTACTTTGGTATCATTTCCATATAATTTAATTGTCATCACCATTTCCGAATGCATCCTTTCATCAACCTATTGAAAAATTAAATACTAATTAGAATTGAACTGAGTTTGGTAAAAGTAAAGAGATGCCAGGGTAAACAAGAACATGGCAAAAGTTAATACTCTGAACTTACTTCACTTCGAAATATATAACCCAGAATACCTCCAGTTAACATGGTTAAAAAAATCATTGCCAGAATGAAAAAAAATGTAATCAGCATGCATCTTATCTCTCTCCAAGCTCCAATGGAACCAAGAAATGAAATGATTGCCACGACTAATCCGGTACCAATGAGGATGGAAGCTGAAGCAACATATGATTTGGTTCCAAGTAATCTTTCCATGAATGATTTATCTGATAAAGTCCATACTCCGATTGAAAAAACAGTCAAACCTCCAAACTAATGTAACATACAAATTTCATTGGTAAAAAAACAATGAAGAAAAAGAGAGTGTATTAAAAAAGGCTTATTATTACGTTATTTTGATACAGTTTTCCTCTCTTCTTTTAGGTAATAAAATTGTAAATATATTATATTCATATTATTATTAAATATTCACAGTTAAATAGGTTTGGAAAGAGCAAGGTAAATGTATTATAATGAATAGAGAAGATTGACTGGAATGGAAATAGTTGAATAACGAAAACCGAATTGAAAGCAAGTTGAAACAACTTATGAATAACTGATTGGCTTTTCTTCAGATATTATTATTGGAATATCTATTTCTAGTTCATAATTTTTACCTCACTTTTGTTAACTTTCTGGTTATCATCATCATCATCATATTTTTATTCAATTTATTGTTACTTTCACATTGATTTCTGCCCACTTGCTCTCAATAAAACATTTGGAATCCCAAGTTTAACTATCAATATTAATAACAAGGTAAACATGGTAAAATATTTTCATTTCAGTCGGAAGTTTTAATGGTGAATTGTTTAAAGTTTAAAAAGTTAGCATCCGAAGGGACAATTCAGCTGAGTTAATGAGCTATCATGCTAATTGCAAACAAGATTGTTCAAGATTGAACAAAATTCATCACCATAAGTTTGTTCAAGTTTACATGAGCTGAGCAACGAGAGGATTAAAAGATTAAAGGACATAAACTTACAAATATAACTCCATTTGCAATAAGCATTGCAAATTTAACTCCTTTGGCATATCCATCGACCATGGCTAGTTTAATTGGTGAGGTAATTTAATTTGCAATCCAGACAGAATAATTTATAAAAAAACAAATGGTAGAAGCGAAACAAACGAACCAATTTCACCAAGTCACCAAATTTTAAGTACTTTCCAATGGTAAAGATTTTAACACATTAATTGTAGATGAAAAAATTTACTAATGATCCAAAGTAATGCAATTTTGGAAAGTCGGTTGAGTGATTTGCAAAACCATGGATCAGGATCAGGTTGATGAGGTTGATGTTGGTTGCAATGGACCAAGGTAGAAAGTAAAAAAAACAAGATACAAGGAAATCCAAAACAAGGTTAAGAATACGGCAACAATTTAATGTTAAATTGTTGATGATTTACTTTAAGGTTACCAAGTAAATGTTACCTTGATTTTAACTTAACTTATAATAACTTCTACTTTTCTTATTTTTGGTATTCTTTTATTCTTTTCGTCTTCTTGTCTTCTCCTTAACTGTCTGTTCCCTTTGATATTTAAGCTTTTTATATTAAACCAACATCAGCAACATTTAAACCCAAAAAAAGAGTGAAATCACATTAATCGTCTTGGCCCAGGAACCTTTTCTTAAGGGTGTGACTCTATTACCAAAATTATCGTGACTTATGTGAATAACCAATGCAACACCATAAAGGTTAAAGGGCTCTAAGATGATAATGGTGAGAGTGACGATGATTAATCCTTATCCTGATAATTATAATCACAATTGGGGAACACAAAACTAAAACAAGATTAGAACAAGATTAAAACAAGATAAATTAAGATTAAATCACTAATATAAAAGATTTATTGAATGGTTGAACCAAGGAAATGTAACAGTTAAGTAACAAGTTGAATAGAGTTGAAGTGAAGCATACGATCAGAAGTTTTCAATTATCCGTTTAAACAAAGCGTTTATTGTTAAATATCACACTTTACACACACAAAATGACCAATAGCAAAAAACCGTTAACTGTCTCTTCCTCAGTCCAGAAAAGAATGGCGCTTTAAATGAGATTCATTTTCATTAAGCGAATATTTTCTTCTCTTTCTCTTTTTTTTAATTTTAAAGGTATGCTAACTCACCTAGCCAGTTCCATCAGTCTCTTTCTTTAGTGACTTCGATCGTTGAAAGCGTTCTTCCCTCTTTATCTTCTCCTTCTTTCTTTCCTTCACTTCAAGTCTTCAGGGACATTTCATTTGCTGTAAGTAAAAAGTGTATTAAACATTCGTATAATTGGCTGTCCCTGACATCTTTTTCAACTTTTACTCACCATCATCTTCATCGCCGCAATCTTTCCTGTCTATTTCATCTTTACCTGTGCCTTAGCTGTTGGCTAAAAATTGTTTTTTTCACCTAATTTTCCTGGTCATCATTGCCACCATTATAATCAACATCATCAATAATGTTCAACATTTGGGGAACTCTGGAGATGATAAAAGGAACCCTTTCACCCTCATTTACCTACTCATTCATTATTCGGTCATGATAATGATTCTCTCATTTGAATCATGATTATTATCAATATTAATCAATAGACACACCCAAAGGTAACTTATATTATTAGAAGCAAATGAGATTTATTTTTGTTTTCTCTTCTATGGCAAAGCTTTTTTCCCAGGTAAGTCATGAAAATCTGGTTTATCATAGAGAATCAACAATCTATTTATAGCTAGTTCAAGTTTAATTTAAGATTTAATTATTTCTATTGTTGATTGTATAAATATTGTGTTAATAGGATCAACTTGAAATAATTGTTAATATAAAGCTCAGGAATGTTGTTTTCGTACAGTTTTGAGGTGTGTTCAGGATTAATTTGCAATTTACCTTTTAGACTCAATTGATTTGCAATTTTCTGTAAATATTGCATCCAAATTTGATAACAATTCACTAACTTATATCTACGTACTCACATTTTTGATTGTCATTACCAGACTTAATAACCAGTGGTTAATCTAAGTCGAGCTGAAATCCCATTCACCTCATGAAAGTTGTGCACCACAACTGATCATGATAACAATAAGCCTGACAGATTATTACTATTTGATTTGTTAGTTTGAATTTTTTATAAAATGAGACTATTTAATTAGAGCTTAAAAAGATGAGTTAGTTTACCTCTGAATTTTGACTTTAAAAATGATTGATTAACGACATTTTTGATAAATTGCATAATTGTAGAGTTGTGTTAGACTAGATGGAGTGAATCGATTAATAAATGGAAAGTTTTGATCATGAATTTGAATGAACCGAGCAATCAAATGAATAGATTGATGAGATGATTTCATCGATTGTAACGGGAATCAAAATGATTGACTTGAACTTTTGTTAAAGTATCCAGTGATTCATTTTGATTAATCCATACTTGAGGTGAACCTAACATTGTTCAATTTTTTTAATTGAATTTTTCAATATTATTCAGTTATGAGCAGTGCAGAGATAATAACAATTACTTTAAGTTAATCAACTTAAATTATTCAATAATAAGTAGCTAATATAGTTGTGTAATTAAACACTAGATGGCGTGATATTAATGCCGTTGCCATGACAGCAGTTGAATTCTCTTCCATTCAATATTTTTAACGACTTTGATGTTTTGAGATTTCATCCAAATAAATTGACATTCTCTAAATTGTCCCGTGTTTTATTATCGCAGTTATCAACTTAATTATTCAACTTATATAAAAACTTATATTTTTGTATTATTCATTCAAATCTTTCAATATGTTAATCAAAGTTAAGGTATGTCAATCAATTAATGTATGTTCAATTTACTGTGAGCCTTACATTTTTGAATCTTATCTTCAAACTGATTTCATCTAATTGTTACTTTTTTGTTGCCTTTCTATTTAGACTTTAACTGGTAAAGAAATTGAAATTGATATTGAACCAACGGACAAAGTCGAGCGAATCAAGGAAAGGGTAGAAGAAAAAGAGGGTATTCCTCCTGCCCAACAACGACTTATCTTCAGTGGAAAACAAATGTAATTCACGAGCTATTTGACCACGTTATTTATTATTTATTTCAACAATGTCTTTATTATTAATTTATTCATATTTTGCTCTTTTTTTTATTAGGAACGATGAAAAAACAGCAGCCGATTACAAAGTTACTGGAGGCTCAGTTCTACACTTAGTTCTGGCTTTGAGAGGTGGTAATAAAATGCAACCGAAACCAAAACCAAAACCTCAAATCATTTCTTTGGCATGCAACTCCAAGGCTACTTTGAAAGTGAAAGAACGACCCATCAGGAAAAAGAAAGATCGCTGTCAGTTGAAAGGACATTCCTGTCCTCAATGTCAAAAATTTTTTGAAAAGCTTGGCCATAAATCAGAAGAAAAGCATTCAAGACATCGATCAGATGTTTCTCCTCCTAAGACACCACCACACTTTTGGGAGGTTGATTTCCCATCCACTCCAGAATGTAAAAAACGAGGATACATCAGATAGTTGGAAGAAGTGGATTGAGAATTAGTTTATTCAACTTGCTCTTGCAACCGCAAACCGTTCTTCAACTCTTTCGTTGTCTTCTCCGCTTAACCCTCTATTTTCATAGCCCTTTCCCTCTATCCTACAAATGAAAACTGTAACAATCAATTAAAAGTCATGGATTAACGTGACCATTGGACCGTTAAGGCCACTCTTTTCAATTTATGACAGTCCCTGTTGCCAATAATCTGAAAAAATTATTAATCCAAATTCAACGTTTGAAGTGTGATAATTACGTTGATTAAAGAAATCTGACCCACCATTAATATCCATGGTTTGAATGTCATTTAATTTCATTTTTCAACCCCATTTTATCTTCAAAATTGTTAACATTTTTTGTAAGTGGTTTTTCGAATCAAATCCTCGGATTGTCTTATTTTGTTGAGTTTAGTCAAAACCCATCAACTTTCATGACGGGAACTTAAACACTGAGAGATAATTTTTATGGTCAAATAAATGATCTTTGCTTACCAAACAAACGCTTGTTCTTTTGTTTTTTTTCTGCATCTCCATTGACAACGGACATTGGTAAACCTTTCATTTTTGATTTTATCCGAATCAAACACTTTCTTTTTCATGATGTCTTTAATAACTTTATTCTCGAGACCACTAATTGTACATTATAAATCTTCTAAAATATCACAGGCAACATTGTTTACCATAATAACTTGGATTATCAACATTCTTTATCCTTGGATTATTGTTTACCAAACCGATGGTCTTTGGAAAAAGGTTGACTATTTCTGGGAAAAGCCTCAAGTAAACTTCAAATATGACTTAATTATGATGGCTAAATTGAAAAATACATCAATATCAAGTAACCAAATCATCTGGAGTAGCTTTCCACAACTCAACAATCAACTGGATCAAAAAAAGATCAGAATACCATTTATTTCGGTAAGTCTGACAACATATATTCTATCTCTGAATTCACCCTTTTTAAACTTTCTCCTTTCAGAATTATGAATCAGATCTAAATAACGATGATGTTTACGACCAATTGGACATGAAATTAGTGTTGCCTACGGAGAAAACGGAAAAAATTTCATCCATAAAACTCATTTTATTTTTCACATATCAACTAAAGGTGAGTGTTTGAACTTATTTCCAGTAAAATTATATTCCTAGTTTGAATTATCCTCTAATTTTTTCTTTTTGTAGGTTAATATGAACCTGAAAATGGATTCACAACTCATTTTGGAGTCATTCACCGATGAACCTCCTTCCAAACTATCAATCATCGGAGATCTGAAATTTTTGCAAAAAGTACCTTTGCCTAATGACCAATTACTGCTGTCAACTGGATCCATCTTTGATTATGTGGATTCCGATGATTCGATCAAAACAAGTATTGATAATATGTTGACAGAAAGTACATCTCAAGTGTGTAAGTTTGACTCTTTCAAATGTTCTGGTTATTTATTGATTGCGCTTTTGTCTTTTCTTTTCAGTCTCAATAACCACAAGTCCGAATACATTATTCCTCTGGAATCATGGCTATGAAAGAAATTTGGATAAATTTACAATTGACATCAAATTGAATTACCAAGATGATCTTTTCCATTACATTCCAGGCTTTTGGTGTACAATGAAATGGGCATGGATCCAGTATTTGTCGATTTACATTGTATTCTATTGGATTATTCAGAAAATAAGATGCTTTGTTTTCCACAATCAAATAACTAGCTCAATGGTTTTCACGGAAATTAAGTCACATGGTGATTGAATGACATTACATATTCTATTCAAACAATTGAATGTCAATCCTGTTCAATTTATACAGAAATATTTGCAATATTTAAATGCAATATTAACCTTTTCATTCCGTGAATCAATATTTTGATCTTGATTGCTGTCTGAAAAGATAATTATATTTATTAAAAATCTACTCAAAACTATTTACTTGCTACTCATTTATACATATTGATAAGAATTAAAATCCACTAAGAAACTCCGATTCATTGTTATTCATATTGAATCACGAACAATTTATAGAGTATAAAGGTCTTATAAAGAAGTTGATCAACGGATTTATTAGCACAGTCTGATAAAACCACTAATAAACCCTCGGTCATGTTAAATTTTAGGAAAGAGTAACTTCTGAAAAATTGATTTCCACTCTCCCCTGAATTTCTAGCATAAATAATTCAATCAAACACTGAAGACGCATGATATGGCCCGGAAAGAGGAGAGATATAAAAGTGAAAGGTTAAAAAATTGGGAAAGTTAACAAGAGGCGGTTGGATCATTACACATAAAATAAGATTTAAGGAATCGACTGAGACCTAACCGTGTGCCGATTTTACTAGTTCATGGTAACCAAAAGAAGATAATAAAGAGCAAAATAACAGGAGCAGGCCAGTTTTGTAACTTTTTCCGATTCAACTGCATTTCGCCAAACCTACAATCAACTTACAAGAAGCTAAACACTATCAACAATAAAAAAGCAACAGAAGCCTGAATCAACAGAGGCTTATTACGAATAAGAGAAAATGAATTAAGGATGAGATGGGATGAGGTGAGAGAGAGAGAGAGAGATAGAGAAAAAAATAGACTGGTAGAAATGAAAGTTTGATGATGAGGGAGAATTGAAGAATCAGTTAATAGAAGATGAGTGAGAAGGATGCAGAGTCCCTTGGATGTAGAGTGAGATCCACAATTAACTTAAACAGGTTTCCTTATTTCCCCAACAATAGCATGTTAGCCGGTCCAACCCAGATTGAAGTCCCTCCAGTTAACTCTCTCTCCGGCTTTTGGTTGCACTAGTAAGCCGAGATCAACTGGTGAACAGATTTTTCTTGCCAATCGTGATCATGATACTTTTACTCTCACTTGCACTAGAGCTTTATTTGGCTGGTGCTAAATTCAATTAACAGCACATAAGTGTACCAAGAAAAAGTGATAGATGTAAGAACAAATTGTTATTAGATAAAAGGTAAATTTAAAATTGAAGTAGTGTTACCTTGATTATTCATTTTGGTTATTGTGTTATTTTACCAGTGTCACTTTCACCTTTCAAGTGTACCCAAGTCGACTTGAATCCTTTATCATTGCACTGTCACCGTTAAAATTAGCTCAGCTGGTCAAACAAACTAGGAATATATATTTAAAAATAAAGTGAGTGAAAAATGATGATAAACTGGTCATCTCAACATATGGCGTGAAGTGAAACATCAAGAAAAATCGAAAAATAAACAGTGAATACAAACCTGGATTTAATTTTTGGCGCCTCGTAATTGTGATCCAATGATTTGTTTCTCTCTCCCTCTCTTTCTCTCTGCTTGTCTCTTAGCATGTCTGGGATGAATGGTTTTTGAAATTATCTAACCATGATTTTCCAACACTCCAATGAACCTAATTAACTGGATTGACAATAAGATTAACCAGTGGAATTCAATGTTACCTTGGTCTTATCAATTATTTATTGTGTTTAGTGTCCCATTGTGTCAATCACTGTTAAACTCTGGTTATAATGATTGTAGGTAAAAAGATCAAGTGAGTGTGTCTACCCTGGATTGTTATTGTTGCTTGTTGCCTGTGAAGAGGAACAATACACCAGAATGGATGATTTAAAGGTAATTACATGTTAATTAAATACATTTACTAATTTATTTGACCACATTTTATCCGTTACCTATCCGTACATGCCAATTTCGGGTCCAATTTATTTACCATTTTTCTCTTTACCCAAATTATCCTTTAGTCTTAACTGTGTTTATGTATTTTATGTGTTGGCCATTTGCTTAACAAGCTACTGTTTTTTCTTCCCTCTCTCATCTTTCTCTCTCTCTCTTTCTTTTCTCTTGTTTAAAACCACCAAATTAACCAAACCTACTTTTGACCTGATTTAGTTAAACTTGTCTCTTATTGTACCTTGATTAGTTTACATTTCATTTCATCATCGTTCTCTCCTCATCATCATGTATATTGATTGAATAGTATTGAGTTAGTTAATTTGGTAGGAAAAACTCTTTACCTCGCTCAACCAACTTTTAAGATAAAGAGATGATAGTTAACAGGCTTTCACCTTCATTACTCAACCAACCTCGTCATAATCATAATCATAACCATTTTCATTGCCAACAATAACACCACTATCTGAATATTCTTGGTATCTTACTTACTAAAAATCATTGTCAATTGATTTGTTAAGTGATCAATGATTATTGATAGTCTATTTGACAAGTTTCTCCCTTTAACATTCATTATATACTCACACATCTGAAGATTTTATTTCCCCTAAAATAATCAAAACTCCAGATTAATTCCCATGTCTGTTTCTGTGATCTCTTATAATTGCCCAACGTATCGGTAATGATTATACTGTTGATTACATTCAAATGAAAATCTTTCTCTGAATTATTTGCTCCTCTCTTCCTTCATACTGTGCTTCATATTTCTCTCTATTACCATTGTGTTGTTAAAGTGAATGCAAACCATGATTGGCTTAGCTAATAACCAATATTTCAATCAATTTCTGGTTTCGCCTTTTCAGGTAACCATGGGATTTGATGGTGACCATGATGAAATATCACGAACAGTGTCGGACACATTAGCAGCCGAGTATCGTGATTATGTGACCATTAAAAGGACTACACCAACATCTGTTGAAATATTTAACCCACCATTAAGTTCAACTCTATCTTCATCATCAACCTCGTCACTGGTTAAAGATGAGGTATTGAGTTTATGTGACGATCCAATTGTCGATGATTCAAATTACAATGCTCGAGTTGAATTTGGCCTTAAATTGGGTTACACCGAATCTCAGGTTCAAATGGCTTTGGTCAAGGTTGGTCCATTTGCTGCTCAAAATGAGCTTCTCGAAGAGCTGATTAAACTCGGTGCCAGTGGACCCAATTTAACTAAAACCAATTCCAATCCTAGTTATACTGTTGTAAATAATAGTAGTGCCAATCATGAATCCCATCAACATTCACATCATCACCTTGTTCATCATACCGATGATGTCCACTTGGATACTTTACATCGTACCTGTGATACAACCGATAGTAGTGACTATTTACGACCGATAGTGATTGATGGCAGCAATGTAGCCATGAGGTGAGTCGGAATCTTCATTTTTCATGTTTCAAAACAAAATGATTGAATGAAATGATCATAATTATTGTCAACAACTTCATAGACTTGTCTTTGTACAAAAATGATCAACAACTTTACCTCAACTCTTGGCTTATCTAAACAAGTGTAGTTCGTTACAACTAACTACTCATATCCGGGTTTATGTAAAGATGCTGACTATTCACTAGCTAACTGTGATTAAAGTAAGCGTGGGATGATGAAAATTTTAATGATGAGAAAATATCATCTTGATTAGAGTGAATTATTTTCCGTAATTCAGTTTGACGTCTATTTACCAACGAACCCGGACTTTGTTGTCAGTTTTGTTATCTGAGTACATTGTCAATGGTTTCCAATAATAACCTTTGATTGTTGATTATAATAGACTATTGACTATAATTAACCCATAAACTGAATTGTCAGACAAAATTGGTAGACTAAAAATTGATTTTCAATAATGTTCTTATCGGTTTGATTGCTTCACAGCTTATATCATAATTATCTCAATCATTTTATATGTTAATATTGTCAAGCAAAGTCATTTTTTTATTAATATTTTCTATTAATAATTTTATTAAATTAACTCGACTCTCAATTGGATCATCAACCTTATTGATTAACTTTTTGTACTCCTTTCGATATATCTTACAATTTGTAACACATTATCATTTATAACATTGTAATTCATTGAATACTTTCTGGTAACAACATTGAATACTCATTAACATCTAATCTAGTAATTTTAATTCTTATCACCTAATAACCCAGTGATTATTTTGTCAACCCTGAGGTTATAATAATTTGCTTATAATTAAGTTGCAATCACTTGAAAGTGTTAATTGTCAATCATTGCAAGTTAATAAGTTGCCATTCAAATAATAAGGCAACAATAAATTAACACTCAACAGATTTAATTTGTCTCTTCAGGGATCAGGAATAGACTTACAACTGACGTGAGATCAGACAATATCTTCAATTATAATCAATGAGTTACCTGTAAATGAAGCAACGCTAATGGAGTGTCGACCCCTTGCAACGGCTTCAAAATGTTACTTGATCATTGGACGTTTCCTTGAAAATAATTACATTAGGAAAGTTTTGAGGAAAGGTCAGTTTCTTTGAATGAGGAAAAGTTAAACTGGCCTGTTATTGTTGAGGGTGGAAGTGATCATCTTGGGCTGAACGGACTTGAATAGGCTTTTTAAGCAAATGATCTTGACGGGCTTCCCGTTGACTTTAGACATAGCCTTTTGTGTTACCTGTAACTCATATCCGGTTAGAGATCCGGGATGGTCATCATCTTCATCTTCATCATCCTTATCTTCTGTTTCTTAAAGTACCTTTCAATCTAATTTTAACACCAATTTCTCTTTCCTTTGTTATAATTTTCATCTTTTCCCCTTCAATCTCATTCTTCCTTCCAAAAATAATTCATTTTCATATTCCTGTTGACCACTCACAAGGTAATCACGGCCATCAACATTCATGTTTAACCGTCATTAAATCTGTCATCACTTTGATTCTTACCTTATCATGTCATCCATCTTTTCATGTTAATCTCATCAATCCAACTTGACCTGTTATTGTTTTTATTCAAGAAAAACATGTTTCACTGTGAAAAAAGCAAAAACTTTTCACTAATTTACTCGATTAAATCAACTTTATTAATGTCTAGGTAACTCTAATCAATTTGTTTTTATACTAATTTTCACTCCAATATGTTTATCTGGATAAACATGAATAGTTATTTGATATTTTTAGTTTGATTCAATTTCAGTTCAATATGGCTTCAACCTAATTTTCACCATCTTGAAGAAATCCAATATTTTTCCAGTTTCAAGCAGAAAATATCAGACTTTGATTTTTGATATCACTTGAAACTTGACTCAATTAATTTCATCAAATTTTGCTAATTAATTTCACAAATAAATCCTGATTTCAATTGAAAATCATTTTAAACGCTTCAATTGAATTTTTGCCCCTCTTAACCAGCGAAAAAAGCCGCGATTGTTTCCATATTTTCATCATTAGATTGAGATCAGATTAAACCTTTTAAAAGCCAAATAAAGAGTGAATTGTTAACAATTCAAAATGAATACAACCAAGCCTGAGGTCTTAAACACTTGAGATTACCGTTTGCTTTATGTTAGTTTTAAGGTCATTTTTGTATCAATTAAGGTCATCAATCAATCCTCATTATTATTGTTTATTTCAGGACTAAATTGTTTATCTCATTGACCTTTAAAATAAATTTCAATGTTTTAACACATTTTAACCTGAAAGGCCAAAGTTGACTTGATTAATGGCTAATAAGTTTTGACTATTGGACAAACTAAAAGTATAACTTTATTTTTATTCACAATGAAAAGGACAGAAAAGTTATCATCACTAATTGAACTACAATTAACATTGTTTAATTTGATTAATTTGGTGTGAAACAATCAAAGAGTGTTGTTAAGTTTCCATGCTAATTGAATGAATCTACTGAATGTTGAAAAAATGATAACAATTTCCATGTTAAATGAATGATAAATAAACACACACAATCATGATGATCTTAACTGAAAATAAAAGAAGATGAAAATTAAAGTAAAAGGAAACAATTAAAAGTTTGAAAACTTTTACGGTTTTGAACTTTTCATTGATTTGTCTCCATTAACAGCATCAACAGATCTTCCAACTCGCGGTGTAAATGATGATTTGATTATTCGATTATAGTAATCATCATCGTCTAACCAGCCCTTTGAGCCAATTGATGAACCATCTGATCGTCCAATTCTCGGTGTCAAGGCAACCCGTTTGAATAAATCTTTAGCAATGAAAGGATTTAAATAGTTTCTTGGAACAGCCAATAACTGAATCCCTCCATGAGTACCTAAACTAGTGTAACCAAGTTGTTGATCACCTTCATAACTGTTGACCTCATCGTCCGAGGCTCGATTGTACGTGCTTGCTTGTTGACTGAAACCTGTTAAAAGGTTAGGCGATAAGTAAGGTGAGGATAATGATGATGATGGTGATGAGCGACCAACCCTTGGAGCTGGAATCAGTTGACGGGTTGATCGAGAGTAAATTGCCATGCTTTGCGGACTTGGACTGTCCTCAATCGAAGCCATATCAACAGCCGATCCAGTTGATGAAGAAGGTGAGGGATTTGATGCAGATGAGGAGGATGCAGCTGAAGCAATATCACTCAGTCTTAATGATCTTTTACCTCGACTATTGAATCCAGTCAATGATTGGAAATCATGCAATTCAGGGTGAAAGTTATCGAGACTATCATATTTATTATTATACTTGTTATTATTAACATTCTTACTTTTAACATTATCACTATTTAAATTGTTATTATCAACATTATTATTGGTTGAATCACTAGTAATCAATTGATGGTAATGATGGTCATAAGGTAGAGCAAATGATCGACCTACTCGAGGTCCAGGAATTATACCTTGTCTTTTAATATAAGGGACTGATGAATATGCTGCTGGTGTTGTTGCATACTTCATTATGGACCAATAATTGTTAGGTAAATAAGTTATTTCATCCAATTCGTACGCATCAACTGAAAAACATTTGCATTAAAGCAACAAAAAAAGTTTGACCAACATGACAAAGCGAATCACAAATGCTTGTAAACAGAATCAAAAAATACTTTAAATCATGCAAAAGGAAAACAAAAAGCTAGCAAATGAAATGAATGTTGACAAAAACATGAAAAAAAATGTCATTTCATTTCAAAAACTTTACTTGTTTCAATAAAAGTGGATAAATGAGCAAAATTGAATCAACATGCAAATTTAATAAGCTTTGAAAATGATTTGAAAGTTTGCTTTAAACTTCAATTGCAATTGGTAATTAGATTATGAGTGTTGAATGATATTTTCAAACTTACCTGTTACTAGTAAAAGGAGTGAAACTGTTGAAATGAAGTAAACCATTTTTGATTGAATTAACTTTGTTTAACTTTACTTTTTTGATCAACTGATGTTTCGATGTTTAAACGGTCAATTGAACAGTTGAACAATTTTTTGCAAATTAAACTCACAAATGAAACACTTACATAGAGAGTAAATAAAATACTAAATTAACACTGAATACAAGTTGACTTGCTTTTACTTGGTTTCTTATGTAAACGTAGGTAAGTTCAACTTGATTGTGATCCTGTTTTCAGTCTTTTAACTCCTTTTGTATCCCAAAAGTGTCAGGTCACTTTGCTTATTATTACATGTAAGCAAATCGACGAAGAAAAGACGAAAACTTTGAACTTGTTCTAAACTCGTAAGCATCTGAGACTGGCAAGGAGGAGTCTATTTATTATAACCTTACATTCAACATCATCATTCTCATCCTTTCGATTCTCATCTTTCTCTCAATTTCACCTTTACATTTCTCACTACTTTAATGATTATATATTTTTCAATTACTCCTAACATGGGTTAACATTGCCGTTGTTGTTGCCTGGTTCCTTCGACTCTCTGTGGGTTCCCCGGAAATTGGTCAAATCTTTAGCAAGGATAAAAACTGATTAGATGTAAATGTTTTTCACCATTATGGTCAGTATGGAAGAAACGCAATGCAACTTGCCAAGGTTAACGGACCTTGTCAGCTTAAAAGTTGCCAAAAAAGTTGTAACAATAACCAGAAAAAAGCATCATTTATTAAACTCTGGATTAACCAACCAATCAACTAATCGGTTAATGATGAAAATATTGATCAAAATTTGAATAACCATAGATCACTCAGTGTGTGGTAATTGAATCTATTGTTGATTCGCCATTCACTTTAATATCTTTTTTTGTATTTTTTGCTGTTTTATGTTTTCACCAGAAAATATAACCAGAGAAAAGCTGAAATTGATTAACAATCAAATTAATCAACTTTGATATTTAACCTTATTGTTTACCCATTTATTATTCAGCTAAGGGTAAAACTTTCTTAACACCTAAACTCAAATTTTTTATTAACCTCACTTTCTTGTGTTTACTGGATTAATTAGGATTAACTTGAGTAAATCACTTTTTTTATGTTACTTACTTAACCTATTGCAATATTATGAATCTAATAAAGGTTTACATTTTCAGGATAAATTTCATCAACTAACCAAGCTAATGAAATAATAAAGTAATTGCAATTTAATTGATTAATATATGGTATTAGATTGTTTTGCGGCCAATCTTTACCTTAATAGGGAATCGAAAATATTATTATTACAAAATTGATCATTTCCAATCTTTTGTTTTTTCGCAGAACTTCATTTTAATCTTGTTTTTATTAAGTTATTAATCTGTTGATTCTCTTTCAAAGTCATGGTAATAAAGAAATTTTCTCGTGTCGAGGATTGCGAATCTGTGTTGATTGGTTCAAAGCCAGAGGCCATAAAGAAATAACCGTTTTCGTTCCAATGTGGCGCAAGGAGTCATCACCAATTGAGAATCCAATCAAAGGTTTGTTTCGATTAAAATCAACAATTGAACAAGAAAATGATCATTAACTTGGGTGCAATACTTTTCAACCAAAAAACAAGTTCAATCTCAATATCATATCTTCTCGTCGAATTGTATTTCTGTTTCAAGTGCAAGTTGATTGGCATTGATACAATTGATACAATTGATTATTTCCATTCATTTTCTGATTTCATGATTAATCCAGAATAATCTCAATTAAGTTTCAAATCTTTTAGGTACAAATCAAGTGTAAGGCAATCTGTAGATCAATCCAGAAGGTTTCAATTTGCAAAACTTAAACATTTAGACTCAAAAATTAGTTTTTCATAAATGAATTTCCTAAAAATTTTGACAAACTTTCAACTCCAGTTTGATGAAAGAGTAAATTTCGATTAGAAAATATTCTTGTTTTCATGGATCGATTAACTTCTGAATATATTTTCATTCACATAAACACGAAATTTATTGTTTTATTTGATTTATGAGAAATTTGATTTACTCCGATTGATGACATTACTTTAAAATCAAACCTTTCAGTTGAATTTATCTTTAAAATGACAAAATGAGCATCTATTTACAATCACCACTCACTTCGAATTCATAGAATCGCTTCAAAGTTCCATTCTTTTGGATATTTTCTTCTTCAAATGTTCTTATAAATGCATTCCCAGTGACTCGAATTCATTATGAACTTTAAAACCATGATTATTGTAGAATCCATATTGGCTATGGTTGATATTTGAAAAGAAATTTAATTCCAGGAAACGAATCTGAACATATTTTGTATCATAATTTTTGCGCAAAAGATGGTGTCAATGTTATCATGATGAACCAGCTTTTTGACCATTTGTTCATTTCAACCTTAACGGCTAACTTAATTCACTTGTGATTTGATTTGACAACATTTAAAACGTCATTGGTAACCAGAAAAGGTTATTGTCAATCATTCCATTGATTTTAATGAGAAATGCTTGTTTTTCATGTTCGGACATTCATTTATTCAAACAGATTCTCACCAAAAGTGTCATTACTAACATTTTCAAATGTCTTTGAGCTATTTACTCCTATTTTTACTTGTTGACTTTTCCCTTTATTCATTCACAACTGAACATTTTTCAATTTTTTCAACTTCTTTCATCGGAAAACAGGTGAACCAAATAAATTGATATCCAATGTGAATTTCAATTGTAACTCAATATAAGTTAAATCACTTGATCATCTTAATCTAATTTTAAACAAATTTAGATTCATTAGTCTTTCATTCAAACCTTTTGCTATAAAACATTTGAAGGTTCAAAATTTGTTTTGGTTATGAAATTAAATTATCAAATTTAGGTTAGCTTCTGATTCTAATGGTCTAATTAATGTTATTTAAAGATTAATTGTAACAATCAAATTGCGTGATTACCAAATTGTGTTAACACATTAATCAGATTTGTAACCTTGATCAGAGTCCGGTTGAAAACAAAAACTACTCCATCGACCACCATTTGATTTACAGATATTGATTAGCGTAAACTTGAACAACTACCTGAAATCATCAGAAACTAGTTCAGCCTTTTGCATCTAAAGTGTATTGAAACTTGAGTATGAATGGAAGCAGAAAAAAGTTGTAGTTAAAGGGCCTGTCAAAACTCATCTTTATCCTCTTTTGATCATCATTCATTCAAAAATGCTTCATTTGTTGATCAGGATCAGTAATGTTTCATTTTTGCTCCAAAAAAGCATAATATTCATCTTGACTCCTTAAAATAAAAGATCCGGCTCCGTTTCACTATTTATTTCACTAAATTAGCAATTTATTTTGCTTGCATCAATCTCATTTAACTCCTTATATTTAACAGTTTATATTCATACTGTTTAACCCTTAACCGGACTCTGATTATTGCATGAAAAATGCCGAGTTTCACCTTATTAACCTTGATTGATTATTTGAGATTCATTTCACTTTGAGACAATATTGATCAGCAAGGATTCATCAAGGGTAAAAAAGTAATGAAAGTTGAAAACAAAAAATTGAAATTTGATGTCATTCGAACCTTTGATTTACCTTTTATTGACTTGATTAATATGTTAATTTAGCTCATTTCTCATTACCCAGATGTTCATTTGCAAGTCATCTAATGAACTGAATGTCGCACGTCTTCAACTAATCACTAATAATAATGATCATAATTCACTGTGGACTTAGTTTTAGGCCAACTTTTCAGGCCCACCTATAAGGTATCATTTACCTATAAGAACCTTGCCCTCCTCTTTTCTTCTTCATCTTTTCCATCTTATTTTTTATCGAAAAAAAGTCTTATTAACTTATCCTTCAAATGTTTACCAAAAGCTGCGAAAGTGAAAAACTTTTCATAGGTAAATGGGTTGGTTTCTTTTCCAGGTTAGGCTCGGGCTTGTCTTCATTATTTGTTTGCCAAAATATATTTTACAATGATAATGATAACATTGATGCTGGTCTTATTTTTGCACTGCCAAGAAAATACACAACTTGAATACTCCACCTACCAATTACCATTAAATTAGTCATTAATATTTGTTTTTCTTATTTCTTATTGTATTTGAATAGATCGAGAAATACTTTTTCAACTTCAAAATGAAAAGGTTTTGGTTTTTACTCCTTCACGAATGGTTGGTGGACGACGGTTGACCTGCCATGATGATTTGTACATCCTTAATTTGGCCTCACAAAATGATGGAGTTGTTGTTAGCAATGACAATTATCGTGATTTAATCAATCGTAATCCAGAATATAAAAAGGTTGTCGAGGAAAGGCTTTTAATGTATTCTTTTGTAAATGATCGGTTTATGCCTCCTGATGATCCATTGGGTCGCCATGGACCCACTTTGGATGTTTTCTTGCGTCGAAAGGAACAGCCACCGCCACCTTTACACTGTCCTTATGGTAAAAAATGTACATACGGAAATAAATGTAAATATTATCATCCAGAAAGAGGTAATCAGCCACAAAAAACAGTCACTGAGCGCCTCTTGGAACAAGCACAATTACAGTTGATGGAAGTCAAGGCTCGAAACCAATCTGGATCCAATGCTGGCAGTTCAAGCTCAATTGATGGCGTTACATCTTCTACAAAATTGGGTGAAAAAATGAGAGCAACTCACACAGGTAGTTTACCCCCAAACATTACTCTATGTGAGGGTAACAATGGTAATAAATTGGGCAAAAAGATGACCATTTCAAGGATTAAACCTCTATTAACATCCCATTCAACGAGTTTCCCTCTTGACGCACGTAAAGATGGATTATTTAACTCACAAACAATTCAACAATCAATTGGATCTTCAAATACTGGGCAAATTGGCAATAATATCAACAACAATAATAATAACAATAATAATAATGTTAATAGCAAAGTATCTTCGAGCAAAGAAGCTGAATCGGTTAATTTACATCGTAAATTACAACGACAGTTAACCTTAAATCCCACATATGATGCTCGTCTGGCCCGAATGACTGGTTATAGTGACAAGTCAACAAGTAATAAATCGAGAACACCAGAGAAAAAAGGTTCTTCATCGTCACCAGGCAATAGTGGTGGACCTGCAGGTGGCCATAAGCAAGTTATGAGGATTCGAAGTGACAGTGGATTCAGTACTGGTAGAGACACGAGCGGTAATGTGAATAGTGGCCATAAGAAGACGAATCACGGTGCATTACAAAATTATCCGTATTTAAATTTGAATAGCATGCCCCATCCAAATGTTACCCGAATTGCAAGTGCCCCTGACTCTAACTCAACGTGGCTTCCACCAAGACAAACCATTCTGGGTAATGCCAACTCAGATTCACGTTTAAACATGTGCCAAAATATATCAATTGGATCAGGCCTGAGTCAACAGCAACAGGTACAATCGACTGAATCATCAGTCATTTCATCAGCAACACCACCTTTCCCAGGTTCCTCTATTTGGTCAACCAGTGAATCAATTCCATACCAATTGGCTCAACCTAATTGGTCCAATTCACCGATTAATCTTCGACCTTTATCAGTTCCACAATTCTTACCTTTATCTGCCAAGAAAAGCTGTCCTCTATTGAACAGCAATCGATCTCACCAAGGATCCCAGAAAACTCTGATGTACCGTTCACTGTCGCCAGAATTATTTTCAGATAATCCACGGTCTAAACTCTACTTTCATTTGGCCTCAATTTTCCCAGAAAACCATGTTCGCACTGCTATGGACATGTTACCAGGAGAAACGAATGCTCAAATAATTTGTGCCGCCATTTTAAATATGTTTACATCGGAGTCACCGCACAATAGGAATAGTATTAATTAATGAAAAAATTGCCAAAATGTAACATTTAGAAGCCAAACCAAATTACGACTCAACCATATTCTTAATGAATTGAAGTCTCTTTCGTTTGCTTTTACATCTAGCAAATCAACTCTTATGTTGGTTTAATCAATAAGTTTAGGATAACTATTGGACAAAGAAAAATGTCCAATTTTCCAATTGTTCAATTCAAATCATAAAAACGTAATCTTCTTCCATTGAAGAAGATTAATTTTTCTTTTAGCTTTTTTCCAAGCAAATCAATTGTTTCATCCAACATCATCTCTATCTTAATACTGTTTCTCATCAGATTGTTTTATTGTTTTCCTTTTTGTAATGTTACTGTTAGAAAAAAAATGATGAGAATATATTTCAAGATTCTTATCCTTTCATCAGTTAATAAGCAAAATTGTGACAAATCAAATTTAATTGTAAATTTACAGAGCATGGTAAAAACAGGCAAATGTTACTAATACTGTAAACCCAATTGTGTGTTTACATGAAAGATCAGTCAAATTGAGTTTCACTTTTCATCTCTTTGCGCTGATAAACACATCAATATTGTATTGAAATGTTTACTCAATTGTCAACATTTAAAAATCAAATTTGTCACTTTTGCTGCTTCGATCTATCAGTTTCAAACACAATCCTCAGTGTTTGTGTAAGTCTAAGCTTGTCTCAATACAATCCATTGTATTTCAATAGCAACCCTAGACAAATACAAATCTTTGATATTAGTCATGTCAAAGAAGATGTTAATCAATTAATTTATAAACAGCAACTCCTTTGTATCAAGTTATCTTGAATTGCAATTAACTGCAATTTAATCTTCTCGCAATTGTTTCCATTGAGAAGACTTGAATCATTTTATTATATAAAATAATGTAAAAGTGTTTCAATCCATGTTAGCATCGTATAATCAGTTGATCAATGTTAACATTACTGTTGAGGTTTTACACCTTTTAGCATAACTTACCCTTTAAATTGACTTAGAGACATCGATTGAAACACTTGATTGCTTCAATAATTAATATTTATGTTTAATTTATGTAATTTAAATTTTTTTCATTGTTAAAGTAAAGAATGTAATGTTTTGTATTATTTTAACGCTTGTAATATTGATATACATTCAACTGTATATCATGTTAACAGTTTTATTATAATATTGGAAACGAAATCAAATTAGTATTGATGAAAATTTTCAATTGCATCTTGTTAAACAGTTTAAACGACCAGATAAACAGATAATCGTAAATTTGATTTCTTAATTCAATTGTGTTCTTTCCCATCAACCATATTTTGTATTTCATCAGTCCAACCAATTCTCATTTTGTGTTCCCAACTTTTTATCATATTTATATAACAAACCTTTTAAATGACTTAGCCAATGATTTATAAATTATGGACCAAACATTTTGTTTCTCATTGTATTACTTTCATTTTTTTTGTATAATGTGATTAATACAAATTAGCGCATGATGATAATTAATTGTCATTAATTCGTTTATTTTCCGTTTAAAAACATTAAAGTGTTGTGACAAACATTTCTGGTAATCAAGTTTGATCAAAACAATCTCTAGATTTCAATCCAACATCCATATTGATTAAAGGATTGGCAAAGTTGAAAGGAAGGTACAATGGATAATGAAAACAACTAATACAAATCTAACCAGTGGTTGGTGCGTAATGTGGCTTATTTCTGGTCATGATATCGGGTGAAAAAAAGGGTGAAAAGAGAAAAAAAGATTCAATTAGGTTTCTTAGTAGTAATACTTGAGGAATGATTAGAAATTGAGTTTTAGTGTAAATTTAAAGGTAACTTACGATACGGATGATTCGGTGTTACCGAGATGTTCACCAACATCCATGCTTAAACAACCAGCACCACCGCCAAAACCAACACCTTTAGGACCATATTTACGTCCATAACACTGTTTGCAGTAAAGCTCCGTGGGTCCGTGTTCAGCGGCATTGGTTGAGTCAAGTCTTTTGTTGCAAAGGCCACACTTGAAGCAACCCTTGTGCCATTTAGATCCACCGGCAAGAACCTCTTCAGCAGCGTAAACTGACTTGCTACAACGAGGGCATTTAGGATGTTCAACTGGCTTGAAAGGCATAATTAGGTGTTTAGATGGTTAAACAAAACTGAATAAGACTTTTCGAAGGCGAATCAAAGAAGAAACTTCAACTGTTAACTGTTAACTGTCACTTTTCAATCTGACAATGTCTCTTCATCTACATTCAATTCTTATATCCGTAATTCGAGAATTCAGTCGGAATGTTCAACCTCCCTTTCACTGAGTCATCAGCTTCAAATTCAGTCTAAAATTCAGTTTTTAGCCTCACGTTCAGCCTCTTTGGCCATATGAGTGGGAGGTTATAGCTTAGGATGATGAAAAGACGATAAAAAAAATGGTTAACAATGCACACAGTAGTAGTACAGATACACAAGATAACTCATACACAAGATAACTCACTTTTAATCGATATTTAATTAATAAAATTGACCATTAAATTAAGTTCAATGACCATGTTAACTAATGCGGAACTATTGTTGAACTTTTTGAAATAATTATGTGAGTTCAAGTTTAAGGTTAATTGTTTGCAATCAGTTTATGCTTTTTTTATTAAATAATGATACTTTTGAACTAAATAAAGTTAAGCTAATTGTTTTACGTCATTCTTGGCTAAACAAATGTATCAATTGCACCAAATGCAATCAACGAACTGAATAATGATACTTAGTTCAATGTGAAATAATTATCTTTGCTACTCACCGTTGCACAAATGTATCAATTTTACTAGATCAACGAACTGAATAATGACATTTTACAGTAGCAGGTATGATCAGTTATTTCGAAGCGGAACAAATAATTCCGGAAGCGTATAGTTTGACTTGACTAAAATTACAATCCTTTTCCACTATAAAAAGACAATTAAGATTTGTTTTTTTGTCATTCGTACCCAATATTTCAAAGATGATGTTTGGGAACGATGAAGAAGAGTTACCTGCTTTAGAATTGATACTTGACATATCACAAGTTTACCCTCGAAGTGAAATGAATACTATCCCCGTTGCAACCATTTCAGATGGTCGAAACAATTTTGAATCCACACCACTCATAGCAACAATCCGCCCTCGAGTTACTTCAGCAAGGATGATTTTCAATCAAAGATCTCCTTCTGGATGTTTTGCACGACATGTCGATGCTGAGTATCCAGATTATATCACACTTGCAAGCAGATTGTCAACGTACGGCGATTGGATAAATACAAATATATCCTCGACTGCATTAGCTGAAGCTGGTTTTTACTACACTAATAAATTAGACATTGTTGCATGTTTCCATTGTGGGGTACATATATGTGACTGGCTTTCTGCTGAAAATCCTTGGGTTTCGCATGCAAAGTTTTCTCCTTGGTGCACATTCATTTACATTAGATGTGGGAAAAGTTTCATTGATTCATGTCTTAAAAATGAACCGATACAAACACAAGATTCATCACTAGTTGAGCCAACAGAAAGTCGCTATACATGTAAGGTTTGCCTGGAAAAAGAAATTGGCGCCTGTTTTTACCCTTGCGATCATTGTGTCACTTGTATCAAATGTGCACCAGGTATCGCTAGTTGTCCTATCTGTCGTGCAGAAATAAAAGGGGTTTTTAGACTGAAACTCATTGAATAAGTTGCATTCATCATGCAGTACCTGCAAGAAAACGTTTATATTGCTAACATTGTAACATCCTTTACTTTAAACTCTAAACTTTCTCGAGAACTAATTAAACAAAATTTTCCCTTTATCAAGTACACAAAATCTTTTTCGGGAGGTATAATGAAATATCCCGACGGTTGTCTCTTGATTTTCGATTCGGGAAAGATAAACATTACCGGAGTACAAAATATTTCAACATCATTTTTACTTATTGATCGTTTTTGCTCCAAATACCCCGCTGAGGTTCGTGTTACAGCATACAGAATCGTAAACATTACTGCCACCTCAATGATTGTTGGAGACTTTGATTATCAAAAATTAATACTTCATCCTGGAGCCACTTATGAACCTGAACTTTTTCCAGGCATAAACCTTAAACTTGATAACTCAAACGTTACTTTCATCATTTTTAGATCAGGAAAAGTTATAATAACAGGTTTGAAAAATTATGAATCGGTGTATCATTACTGTGATGAATTTGACTATAACATAAGACTGAAGCCAATATAAAGATAATGATTTTCATGCATTTATCAAAATTGCAACAATGGATATGTCTCCAGCTGATTATCATCGAATGTGGTACAAAAAAGTACTCTTTTCTGTACAATTAATCGTATTAATTGCAATGCTTATAACAGCAATTACTAATATTGTGCTTAAAACTGGTAATTTACCACTTTGGACGGCTGTACTCGGATCCTCCCTCGGTTATTTGCTTCCGAATCCAAAATTGGGATCTTTCAAATCGGAAAATGTAATACAAACACCCTCTAATCCCTCATCAGTTGTAACCTGAAAATTTCAATATAAACCAATAAAAATAATTTTTTTTTTTCAATAAAAATGTCTGTCTCTGTTTATTTGAAACATCCTTTTACAATGCTAATAGCAGGACCAACTGGTTCTGGTAAAACTTATTTCATTAGAGACATGATCAACAAAGCGGCATATATTTGTGATCCACCTCCAAAGTCTATCACTTATCTTTATGGAGAGTATCAAAAAATGTTCAATTCAATGAATGAAGTGAAATTCATTGAAGGACTACAAGAAGAAATAGTTAATGAACTCGGTAATGATGAGCCACAGTGGTTAGTTATAGACGATTTAATGCTAGAGGCAGTTAATCAAACTTTTGTTAGTAACTTGTTTACCAAAGGGTCACATCATAGAAATATTTCTGTAATTTTAATTACTCAAAACTTTTTCATGAAAGGAAAAGAGAGTCGAAATATAAGTCTCAATAGTCAATATGTTGTATGTTTTAAAAACCCGCGTGATAAATCTATGATTACAAACATAGGACGTCAAATGTTTCCGACAAAAATAAAGAAATTTCAGGCCGCCTATGAAGATGCGACTCAGGGGCCATATTCTTATCTTTTTATTGATCTTAAACCTGATACAGCTGAAAAAATAAGGTTATTAACGAATGTTTTCAATGAACATGATAAACCCATGTATACGTATGTGATATAAATTATATAAAGGTTAAATAATTTTTGTATACAACATAAATGTCGATTGAAGGTGTTAAAAAGTGTCTTCCGACATTAAAAAAACTTGCTAAAGCCAAGACAAGGAAGCAAAGAGAAAAACTTTTAGCTAAAGCAAAATCTTGCATATTTTATTCTATCTCTGAAATAAGTAAAAACACACTCAACGGAAATATACCAGTTCAAGACTCATCAAAGGCAAAACTTGCCCCCTACAAGCTTGAACTTCGAAAACTCTCAAGAAAAAGTATTCCCCTGAAAGCTAGAAAAGAAATAATTTTACAAAGCGGTGGTGCTTTCTTACCTGCACTACTTTGGCCAGCAATATCTTATCTAGGTGGAAAGTTGGCAGATAAATTTATACAATGAATGTAATGAATAAAATGGTATTAATTCCAGAAAAAGAATATCATCTTCTCAAAAGTGACCTTAAAAATGATGATAATGTGACCCCTGTTGCTGAACAGGCAAGAGTTGCGAAAATTGAAAAGAATAAAACTGATCCTGAAATTAAATTAAATGAATATAAAGAAAGCTTTAGAAAAGCGGTCCAAAAATATGAAAAGAAATTATCTAAAAGACCTAAAAAGGATAACAAAGTTGTGAAATGTCAGACACTCAATTGGACCAACGTGAAGAACTTTTGAAACGGCTTTATTATGACTTGGATAGTCACGGTAGTTTCGGAGGTGCTAAAAGACTTTATAGAGTTGCGAAGGAGCATGACCCATCGATTGAATACAATGATGTAAAACAATGGTTGATGAAGCAAGAAACGTATACAAACTTTCGGGTACGACGGAAAAACTTTCAAAGGCTAGCTGTATTGGTTGATAGAATCGATGAGCAATGGCAAGCAGATCTTATGGACATGTCCTATTGGTCAGGGCAAAACGATGGAGTCAATCATTTACTTGTTGTGATTGATATACTGAGTAGATTTGCATGGATACAACCGTGTAGAGATAAAGCAGCACCCACAATCATAAATGCTTTTTCTGAAATTTTTTCTTCAGGAAGAAAGCCTGAAAAACTACAAACGGACCAAGGACGAGAATTCAACAATAACAGGTTTAAATTTTTTTGCACGTCTCAGGGTGTACATTATTTCACGACAACTGACGCTTCAATAAAATGTGCTTTAGCTGAACGTTTAATACGAACATTACGTTCTCGTATATACCGTTTCATTTACCATAAACATACACATCGATACATTGATGACTTACAAAACATTGTTAATAATTACAACAACTCTTACCACAGAACTATTAAGACAGCTCCAAACTCTGTAACACAAGATAATCAACAATCTATCGTGCAAACTATTCAGAGATCAATAAAAAATGAAGAGAATAAAAAGAAAACTTTCAATGAAAATGACTTTGTTAAAATTCCATTAAATACTGGCAATTTCGAAAAGGATGCAGTACAGAAATGGACTGATGAAGTGTTCAAAGTTTCAGGAGTTAAAGAAACGCCTCAAAAATTCATCTACAAATTGAAAGATTTACAAGGTGAAAATATATCATCAATTTTCTATCCTGAAGAATTACAAAAGGTTGATTTTGACCCTAATAAATTGCGCAGAGTTGAAAAGATAATCAGGAGAGTTTATGACAGATCACGAAGACAATATAAGTACTTAGTCAAGTGGGAAGGCTGGCCAAGGAAATTCAATAGTTGGATATCCGATATCACTCTTGCAAATGACAGCAATTAACTTTACAATTGACCTAGTGTCAAATGGGTCTACAGACATCTTTCCAGAAAATACATTATCAAAATTTCAAAATCAAATTGATCCTGCATTGGAACTTGATGGTGATTGGGAAGTTGCACTAACAGAAATTTATTTTCCCATCAAATTTGCTATTGATATATCAGAGAAAATGCAAGTTAATTTTAACATTTTGTATACAGCATTCACCTTTTATCCAAATATCGACTTGCGAGTGATATACCCTCCTGAACAAAAGTGGAGGAAATATGACACTTTGGGTGGTGATTATGAGTCATCTGTTGATATTTTTCCAGATGACTCTGTTAATGCGATAATAGATAAACTCAACACTTCAATGATGGCAAATTTGAAAAGTATCGCTCCTACACTTGTTTTCGATTCCTATCCTAAATTTGTTTGCGAAAATGGGAAAACAATCTTCTATCCTGGTCTTCTCACTACAAAAAAAGATAAAGCTACCCCGCTTAATGTTCGTTTAAATGGTCCTGTTGATGAGATAAAAGCAAAATACAAAAAAGATTATAACATTGATTTAGAAGAGATAGGCACGCTGTCAAATGCACCGGTCCCGAAGCCTTTAAGACATTATTACAAAAACATATTTATTGATGGAATGCACACTTATAGTGCTGCAGATGGAGAAGAAACTGAGAAATACAAAGAAATTGCATCTACTGTTTTTGTTCCGCAATTTTCAGACGGGAAATTAATGGAATATTTAGGCTTCTCTCCATCAGCGGATGCTTTAATCGATAATATTGATCATTTCAAACAGGAAGTTGTAGTAACAACACCTCTTTATCATAAAAATAATGTCAATCTGATGTACGTATATACTGATATCATACGAGATCATGCGGTTGGAGGAACTAAAGCGCCTGTATTGAGAGCAGTACCACTGACGACTGGTATTTATCAAGGAATCGGTTATTGTACATTTGAGCATCGAATATATTATCCAGTGCGGAAAAACCATATCGAAAATATTGCGATTTTTTGCTTGGATGATACTGGAGAGCAGATTAAATTTGCAAACATTGGAAGAGTTTTTGTAAGCTTAGATTTTCGTAAAAAGAATTAATATAAAGAAAACAATGTATTTAAATGGTGAATTGAATAAAATGATTCAAAGAAAAACTTACTGTCCTAAAGATAGTGATTTCAATGACTATTTTGCACATCAAGTCGGTTCTGGATTCGGTGACATTAGAATAGTCAGAGGTCCTAGGTATCAAAGAGGGTATGGCTTCGGTAGCTTCTTCTCTCGCTTAGCTATGCCTGTTATAAGGTATTTAGGCAAAGAAGCTCTGAATAAAGGAGTCAGTATCGGTAAGCGTGTAGTTCAAGACCCTCAAATTCAACAAGCTTTCAAAGATAGTGTTAAAGATTTGGCAAATAAAGGACTAGCTAAAATTAAGGAAAAGGTTGTAACACAAGAAGGAAGTGGACGAAAAAGATTATATAAAAGGAGGCAAAAGTCTAAACCTCAAAAATCTTTGCGTAAAGTGAAGAAGCACACTCTGAAAAGAGTGAGCAAAAAGAAAGGAATCAAAAAGAGGAGAGTAATAAGAAAACAACGAGATATTTTCAAATAATGGAGTATATACATGCATCTTCGTCTCCAGCTACTATTGCTGAGCTTGATTTATTTCAATTTCCCCCAACACAGACTGTCATTGAAAGTATCTATGACACAGAATACAGACCGATAGGATCGATTGCGAAAGCTAATGTATTTGAATTCATAGTGCCAGCTTCGGAACACTACACTGACCTCTCTGCAACGTATTTGTATGCAAAAATGAAGATTGACGTACCCACAGGAAAAAGTGTTACACCCACAAACAATTTTGCTGCCTCACTATTTGAGCAACTTGATGTTTATTTTGGGAGTGTAAACGTCACACCTGGAAATAGTTTATACCACTATCAGTCATACATTGATGACATATTTTTCAAGTATAAATCACCCCTTGATGATTGTCAAATGATTAATGATACGGATTCTGCAAGATCTGATAGAATCAAAGATAAAAAAGAGTTTGACATTATAATACCTATTCACGCTCCAATGTTTCAACAAGAAAAATTTTTGATTGATAATGTGCCCATCTCGTTACGATTCAAATGTGCACCGCAGACTTTTGGATTGAACAGCGCAACAGAAGTAACTCCGCTGAGTGTAGAGTTTACACAGCTTTCTCTTTTCATAAGGCGAGTTAAATTGTATGCTCCAGTACAAATGGCAATCACTTCACAATTGGAAAAGAGTCCGGCAAAGTATTACTTTCAAAGGAATGAAGTCAAATCATTTCATCTACCAAAAGACTTTGCTGCAAATAGCATTGACAATGTATACAATGGACAGTTACCACGCAAAATTATTGTTGGTTTTGTTTCTGATGATGCATTTAATGCGAAATTGACAAAAGACTCATTCAATTTTGAACATAAAAATCTGCAAAGCGCTACGATTGTCGTAAATGGAACTAAAATACCGAGTACACCTTATCAGCCTGATTTCAAAAATAAATTATTCATGAGAGAATACTTTAATGTTTTCCGCTCCATGAATCAAGATAATGGAATACCTAAAATCAATCTAAAATATCAAAATTATTCTGATAAATATCCACTTCTTGTTTTTGATTTAACCGATGATGGTACTCTCGCAAGTGATTCAGGTGTATTATCTATGATCAAGAGAGGCAATGTTCGTATGGATATTCAATTTTCTTCTGCTCTTAGTGAAGGGATGCATATGCTGGTGTTTGCTATATATGATAGCGTTCTACAAATTGATGCAGCACGTAATATTGTCACGGACTACTGATGGCTTTAACAACATTAGATATACAAAACCAACTCGTAAAATACAAAAATTTCAAAGGAGTATACGCAATTGATAAACTTCCACTTACTTTGTTTCCAAAACCTTTCGGAATCGTAATCAATCTCGATCCAAGCTGGAAATCTGGCTCACATTGGACAGCAGTATTTATACCAATATACGGCAGTGGAATTTATTTCGATTCTTATGGGCAGCAACCTCCTGAAATGATAAAAACCTATTTGGAAAGAAACTGTAAACGTTATGATTATATCTATAATGTAGATGTATTTCAAGGAGACTTGTCGATCAAATGTGGTTATTTTTGTATCTCTTTCTTGAAAAGTTGCTTTACTGGTTCTTACTTACCTTTTTTGAAATGTGAACAAAAACACAATGAAAATATAATAAACAAAATTTATTAAAATAAGATTTAAAATTAAATGTAATTAAATGAATAAATCAAAGAATGAAATTACAAAACGTTGGAAATAGTATCTGCAATATCATCAATTTCCATTTCATCCCATGCTTTAAAAACATCTTCCCATGAATCCCCCTCTATCACCGGTATAGGTTTATTGCACAGGTCCATTTTTTTCAAAGCAGGATCCTCAAATTTTATTGCCTCGGGTTTTCCCTCATTACACCATTGCTCCAACTCTTCCATATTGATTTCGGTTTCTGGCTGTTCTGATTCTTTTTTTGTTTCACCCCATTTTATGCTTTTAATCCATAATTCGATCAGCATTCTCGTCGTCAATTCGAAAACGAATGGCTTTCTAGTTGCCACCAGAGGGATTCGGCTTCTCTTTGCCTTTTTTTGATTGATTTTCATCATTCGCTGTTTCATGTTATACTTTGCCATCTGTAAAAGAAAGAAAAGAGAAACATTAATAAAATGCAAAAAAGAAAATGATTTAGGGATGTGTGGAAGAGATGGGTATAATGGACATGCAAATTATTGTAAAAGACTTTTAATTAAAATAAAAAGTTAGTAGAGATTACATTAAATAGAAAATACAAATACAGAAAAAATGTATTGGTTTAATCATGAGATAAACTTGTTTCGTGTCAAGAGATACTCCACAACAGTTTCAATCGTCTGCTCAGTAGTTAATTGCATGGGTAGTGTTTCTCCTCTCGCTTCTTTAGATAATCTGGCTTGTTCCAAGAAATAGTGCATAAAGTGCTCGTTTTTTCGTTTCTTTCTACCAAGACCGCTACTACATGGCTGTTCTTCTCTCGTCCTGTTATAAATTTGATTCTTTTTCTCATAATTTTTCCAATTTTCCAACCAAATACACACGTTTGATATTTCTCTTCTCAGCTTTGCGTGCAAGAAAATAACCTCCCTATTACCAATATCAGCAGCTACTCTTTTGAAATAAGCTTTTGTTTTTTCTGACCATCGCTCATCATGATGCAATTCCAGAAATAAACTTTTCATTTGTTTCAATTTTTGTCCTTCAATGAAAGTAAGCTGTATCCATTCCTTTGCCAAAGTCAAGAACAATTTATCAAACTCAATTTTCGTAGCTTGAATTTTGAAGAAAAGTGAAATTTCTTTGCTACTTGGAGCCATGATTTGCTGCAACATGATAAAAAACAAAAGATTTTGATTAAATTACAGAATGAAACAAAAACTGGAAGTTGCGCAGTGATTTAGGAAAGGTGGGTTTGGGTTTGATGTTAAGTTTAATAATTTAATTACCTTTTGTATGTTCTTATTCTACAATTCTATAATGTCCGTATGCTAAAGTGCTAACTGCATCGTCCAAAATGTATCTCTTGTCATCAAGCGGAGAAAAAGATAATTTATTTATCTCTACTGAAGAAATAGAATGATGTTTACTCTGTAATCTAAAGTTTTTATGCTTCAATAACACATTTTCGAAAAGACAAGCCTTATAATCATCTATTGAAATCCCACTTTTAACAATTGCTTTTTGCACTCCCTTAGCAGTCATTTTTTTATTTGTACCATATTTGATAGCATAAAGTTTAGCTTTTATTGCAACTACTTCATCAATTATTTGCCCATTCATTTCATCTTTCAAATATCCTAGTTTCTTTTTATTTTCAATGCTGTACAAAAAGTGTGCTTGTGGATAATCAGAAAAATCCATAAGGTAATTGAATTCTTTCAAGTCATTGTATAAATCTTTTGTTTGTATTTTATAAATAAAACTGTCGGTGTCAGTGTAGATGAGAGACAATCTAGATCCATATTTAGGTAGGAAATGATCATAATGTAGTCTATACATGTGTAACTTTGATAGTTCCAAGACTGTAAACCCTAAATAAATTGGTTTGTCGAGAATAACTTCAAACTTTTTCAACTTGATTATTGCAAGATCATTGTCTAGAATGTAAAATTGTTCAAACATTGGTTGTCTTATTTGCTGTAATGCTTGTTTTCCATTCGTAGCAATTATGACTTTACTATGTTTCCTTTTATCTTCTATACTTTTTCCATACAATGAATTTACCATTAGTTTCCAAAAATCTTTAACGAATGATGATGTAGCTTTTTTTCTATTTTCTGTGCACATTTCAATATATGGTTTGAGCCAAGCTTCTTGCTCAAAACTAATAATGCGATGAATCTTTTTCAAAACTAGACCTTTCTCAATGTAGAAACGAAGATTTTTCTCATGCAGAACATAATTTTCTTTGTTCATCAAATTCGGAACAAGTTTCTTAGTTTTGTAACGCTTAATGCCTGCAGCTTCTAAAATGCTCACAATTTCTTTTTGATAACCACTCAACTGTTCATATTCAACAGTTATCCTTTCAGGTGCCAAAGGATAATCATTATGAAGATCATGTAAACATGAAGGATAGTCAAGATCAACCTCTAGAATGTAACCAGTTTTTCGGTCAGAATCAGAATGCAAAATTTCATCAATTACACTTTGAAACATGTAGGGAGGAACCCATTCAAATTTTCGACAAGGCAGAACATCACTAAGAGCATATCCGTAGAGATTGTTAACGTCAAGATATGTTATGAATGAGCTTGGTTGATTAGGATCAAATTTCTCTGATAGTTCATTATTAGCGCATGCGTAACGGCACATTGAGCAAGATATTCCTCCTCTTATTTCCTCCTCAATCATTAAAACCATGTCAATATCAGTCAATAGATCCAACACGACACCAGTGAACTTCAAGGAGGCATCCCATGTTAGTCCCGGGGTTGAGAAATAGTGACAAGGGTCTAATCCAAACTGTTTCAAACTAGTCGCACGAAAGTTTTGAAAAATAGCAGCAAGAAGTAAAACATCAACTTTAAGATAAATATCATGAAAGTCCCCAAGATTTTTACAATTAAAATGCTCCCATATATCAAGCAATCTATCGTACGATTGTTTATCAATTGTTTTCAGTGACAGATGCGAAAAAAATTTATCAATAGATGGTAAACTTTCTTCTTCAAATCTTTCCCAAGAGTCCATGTATTCATAAGGCAGCGATCCCTTATTCAGAATATATGGTAAATCATCGTCGGAAAAGGTTTGACACAAAAATTTCTTCTTTTCTTCAGTTGATAAATTATGTGCTAATGTGTCCAAGCTAGATAGCAAAAAAGCATAACTGTCCAAGAAGATGAAATCATCCATTATTATCGCAATATACTTTTCAGTATTTTGCGGTATTACATTTATTTTATGAATTTTATCTGTTTTTAGACCTCTGATTAGTAAATGAGCATCATAACCTTTCAGATTATGAAATATGATTGGAAGCCTATGAGGTAAACGCATTTTGAGATTGCATCGATTGTGCGCAGCTCCTCGGAATTTCCCAGTCAAGTGACAATGATCGACAACTTTATCATCTTGCAGCTGCTTGTTGCAAACATAACATTGAGTCGATGCTTCAAAAACATGTCTTTCGAAATTACTGAGCTGTGCTGGTTTTTTGTGCTGTTCAAGATGGTTCTGAAGGAAATCTTTTAGCTTCAAGAGTGTGTCAATGAATATTTGACTTGCATTCAAGCCGCGATAAAATTTTTGAAATAAGATTTTGTCATTCCAGTCAATCGCAACTAATCCAAACGAACATGCTTCGTGTTTTTGATATTCAAACGTATTTTTAGTTAAAGCTTTGTTAGTTTTTATCAACAGAGCTTCAAAATCAGCATAAACAATATAAGGATAACTAATCGTTTTTTGTATCTGTCTAAATTTACATTTAGTTGGAATGTTTTCCTGACCAGGCAGAACGACACTTTGTGCAGTTTTATTGTAGCAAACAATTTCATGTTTGGATAGCGCCGTTTGATTTCTAAAACCTGAACAACAATTATAACAGAAATAACGCTCCCAGGATCGACTGCTTTTGATGAATGCATTGAAATTTGTAATGCAATAATAATGTTCATTGAATAAGAAAAGATTTGCATGCTTCAACTGACGTACCTTAGCAACCATTAGCGGAACAACTTTCTTTTTTTCATCAGGTGTTAGTGTATAAACATTCACAGAAACATTATTTCGTTTCGTAAAGCGTTTAACCTGTGAAAGCGTTGTCATACCATCTACTTGACTAAAGTCATATTGCTTTTCAAAAACTTTGTAATGCCCTATTCTTTCTTTATTCATTTTTTGAGGGTGTAAAGCCATAAGGATAGACCATTTGAAACAATCTTTTCTACATTTCGGAGATAATAAACTTTTCTTTTTGTTGAAATCAGATGGTAATTTTGTTGAATCACAGCCTCCACTATGTTCTTTCAGTTTACCAACACGAATCTCAAGAACCTTCACACTCTGAAGCACCCATCCACTTCCACGTTGTGTGAATTGATCGATAGCTAACTCAATCTGTTCAATCCAGTTTTTAACGATAGTTTCAATATGATGCAGGTTTGTTAGGCTTAACATCTCAGCAACTTTATAAATTTCTGTTGTATCCGTTCCTCCTTCGGTTTTCTGTTTGATAAATTTGAGTAGAAGACATGCTTGCACTTTTACAGATCCAATTCTTTCAATGATATATTTAAGCAGAGATTGGATATTTTCCTTTTCAACAGCTAGTAGATGTTCAATTGATTTCCAACCATCAGCTTTTATGTACACAGCTAAAGCATTTCTATAGCTTCTTTTGTGCAATTTGAATGTAGCAAAATCTCCAATATCCTCACTCTGTTTTTGTCTACATTGATTAAGATGATTTAAGAAATTTAAAGAAGAAAAGCTACTTTTACATTTTTTACAGACAACTTTTTTACACCTTGTTTTATGCAGAAGAAAAGATTTGTATTTCAAGAAACTTTGCTTACATGTTGAGCACGAAAACATTCTGAATAATGAAACTAAAGTCAAATGCTTTTTGCTTTAAATAAGTTTGAAACGGAATTTTTGGGAGAGCTCTCTTTTTATTAAATTTTTACCCAAATAAATGACAACCAAAATAAAAGATAATAAAGGTATAGATTAAGTGGAAATAAAGAATAACTGGATAATACTAGTTAAGTGTAAAGTAAAATACTGAATAGGTCAATCATAAATAGATTGACACATTGCTGCAGCAATACCATCAACAACAGAATGAGAGTTCAGTTTAATAATCTCCTCGTCTGTTAGAACAAGTTTTGATTCTTTCGATTCGGTTTTCAATTCCAGTGCAAAAGATTTGCCATCAGCAGCTACTTCACCAAGCAGAGTGCGTCCAGGAAAAATGGAAAACTGGAAACCATTATCAGTCTGCTTCAAATAATGATAAAATCTCTCTTTAAGCTTCTCATACTCCTTATACTTGAGAAACAACCCGTACCGTGTTGGAATGTAGATTTTTTTACCTTGCCACTGTCCTTCCTTCTTACGACGAATGTCAACAAACGTTGTTCCTTGTGCAGACCGTGATTTGTGAACAGTAACCCACAAGGTTTGACTGATCTCAACATTGAGCAGTTGCTCAAATTCTTCGGTGAATTTTTTACGGTGTACAGGTTTTTTAAGACTGTTTGCGACTTGTTGAGAGGCATTGGAACTTTCGTCGTTGGAACTCATGATGAAACTTTAACTGTTGAATGAGAAGAAACTGAATGAAGAAAAAATGAAGTGCTGCTGAACTTTTATACTTAAATCCCAGTCGATCCGAAGCCACTCCTACCGCGCTCACCAACATTAATTAACTGCTCCACTTCAACCAAATCAGGAACTTCTGCTCTCTCGACAATCATTTGCGCTATACGCATCCCTTTTGTGATTGTGAAATCCTCATCAGACCAATTATGAAGTATTACCCTTATTTCCCCTGTATAATCAGGGTCAATAACACCACCGTGAACAACAATTCCTTTCGAAGCGAGACCTGAACGTGAGGCTAGTCTAACGTAACAACCAGCAGGAGGTTGAACCTTGATTCCTGTTTTCACAATAGTTATTTTTCTTGATGGTAGAACCAAATTTTCATAGGACTGTAAATCATATCCAACTGAGTCGATTGTGCCTCTAGATGGAGTAGAGACATCTGGGTAACACTTACTGTAGAACATACTCATTTTGAATGATAACTTTTATGAAAATCTCGTCTTTTTATGCTAAATTAGTCTGCAAAATTTTCTAAAATCGGAAGGTATGTCCACGTGAATACCTCCGCCCTACAAAGAGTTATTAGAGCGAGTTCATCATAAGCATTTATCGCAACAACACTATTACCAAAGTTGTGTAATATGATGATGAATTCATCATCGAAGGTATTTTTAATCACTGGAGCGATAACAAAAACACTACGGTTCAACAAATTGGGACTTGCAGAGCACTGTACGAATGTACTTTGAGGAGGTTTCAATCTGATTCCTGTTTTAATTATAGCTGATTCGTTTGGAGATAATTTAACGTCAGCGGTGGAATAAATAATATATCCTAATTTATCTTTTGCTTGTGCAATTATTGAAGGAGTTGAAGAACACTTACAGTATATAAACGACATTAGTTGCAAGTGTTTTTTTGCAAGTGTTCACTTTACAACTTATGCTCACCATTATATACTCAGCCCGACCAATTCAGGGCGTAAGTCATGGATCAAGTAATTCACTAAGTCAATGATCACGTGATCATCTGAAAGGTGGGCATATGTGATAAGGTGACACTTTAATTCATTTAAACTTTCATACTCGAGTGAGTTTTGGTCTAAATGCATCACGAAATAATCTGAAACGTAACCTGACCTTTGTGACTCAGTTTGAAGCAAGTAACCAGATTGACAACTTCAATGTTCTCTTGCAAGAATCTCATTATAAATAAAATTTTTAATCAATAAACTCAAGTCTAAATACCGCTGCTACGAAAGAACGGCACATAGGACAAGTAGCGACACCTGGCTTCATTTTTAGCATGAAAAGGAACAGTTCGTTATATACTCATAAGCAAGGGGAAAGAATGAAAATGACAATGACCTTTTTGACCTTGAAAAATGAAAAGATAATTTAAAGTTGATAATTTATTATCAAAGAAGTATACCTCTATCTATTACTGTTTTCAAGTTATAAACCTAAAAAAATCAAGTTTAGCATAGTCAAATTTGTCGCAAAGGTATAATTTTTGAACGATAAGTGATATACAAAATTTATGAATATAAAAGTTGTGTATTTTAATGAGACAAATCGAATGCAGTTTTTTGCGACAGAATCGGTTGAGGAATAAAGAAGTTATGGGAAATGCGAAAAGTCTATGGTAAAATGTCAATTTTCACATAGAAGGAGTGGTTTTTTCGCAGTTTTGTCAATGGCCAACTTATTCAGACCGAAGGTCTGAGAAAGTTGGTCTACCCAAAATAGGCCAAAATAGTCAGAAATACTTTTTACAGAAGTCATTTATCTTTGTCCATTGAGTTTCTATGCTTTTTTATTCACTTTGTTCATGTTTCAAATGCATGATAATTTTGAGTTGATAATTTATTATCAAAGAAGTATGAGTCTATCTATTACTGTTTTCAAGTTATAAACCTAAGACAAATCAAGGTTAGCATATAAAATTTGTCGCAAAGGTATAATTTTTGAACGATAAGTGATATAAAAAATTAATGAATATAAAAGTTGTGTATTTTAATGAGACAAATCGAATGCAGTTTTTTGCGACAAAATCGGTCGAGGAATAAAAAAGTTATGGGAAATTTAAAAAGTCTATGGTAAAATGTCAATTTTCACATAGAAGGAGTGGTTTTTTCGCCGTTTTGTCAATGGCCAACTTATTCAGACCGAAGGTCTGAGAAAGTTGGCCTACCCAAAATAGGCCGAAATAGTCAGAAATACTTTTTACAGAAGTCATTTATCTTTGTCCATTGAGTTTCTATGCTTTTTTATTCACTTTGTTCATGTTTCAAATGCATATACTAATTGCAAACAATTAACCGCAAACTTGATAATTGTTTCATAAAGTTCAAAAATAGTTCCGCATTAATTACCATGGGCATTGAACTTAATCAATAATTTAATGGTCAGTTTTATTAATTAAATATCGATTAAAAGTGAGTTATCTTGTGTATGAGTTATCTTGTGTATCTGTACTACTACTCACACGAAACTTTAATTTGGGTTGGCAAATTCAAATTTTACGGTTCCTAGTGAAACAAAAATTCATCTCAAGGCTTTGACAATGATTAACTCAAAGCAATGTAATCTATTTTTCAAGGAGATCAACAATCATCTTTAAGTAAATCACATTCTAGAAGTAGCTCGACAGTGTTCAGTATTTGCTTCTGATTACCAAGAATTAACTCTAATCACTGTCAAATAAAAACTAATATCAACCTTTCAACAGGTAGTCAAAGCTATCAGTATAATATTGAAATTCCAGATGTCAAATTCAGTAAGTTTAGGCCATTAACTTCAATGAAATAAATGCCAAAGTTCATTTAATTTTTGCCGTTTTTCCGTGACAATATTTTGCTTCGATTGATTTTTAATAAACTTGAAGCTAATTGTATTATTAGATGTTACTCACTCGGTGTTTATGATTAATTGGTTAAAATGTATACACAAAATGCGCGTCAACTATTCGTCAAGTTGCTTTATTTTGTGTCAATGTACTGTTAAATCCACTGCACTGACTCATTTACCAACCATATTAATCTGGTTCAATGTTGTTTACTGTCTTCAACTTAGGTGACAGTTGTTTTTATTAAATCTTTTAATAGACTTTGGTAAAAGACTTGAATATTACCTTAATTAGCTATCTATTGGGTCTCAATTTTCACTCAACACTATTTAATTGAAACTTGCTCATCTATTTTTAACCATGGTTGGTAAACAGTCGAAGCAACATCCTTGTTTACTTACATGGATTGTATTAATAAACTAGTTGAAGGTTAAGCAATCAATTCAAATTTTTTCATCTTATTCCTCATAATTCTTGATCATCACATCTTTTCATCTTTCGGATAACATCCAAAAAATGTAGCTGGTTCAACTAGAAAAACATTGCTCTTGAATGACACAATTTCATTTCAAGACGAAATGTCTTGGTTCCTGTTTATTATTGTAACAATGGGGACCTTGATTTAGTGATTAATCTTAAATAGACATGCCTTTGTTAGTATATTGATGGCTAAGTCATATTCGTTTGATCATAATCTAAAAGTAGAGTTATAGTCAATATCTTTTAATTTAAACTCTTACAAAAATCATAAAAATATGCGAATCATTGGCCTAAAACAACCAGTTGCGATAGACACATAACATTATAATTATAGATTTTGAATATCAAAAACACATGGATAGTTCCAACAAATCGATTGCGATTGGTATTGCAGAGAATGTTTCTTTTAAAGTTTGGCGCAAATTATCAATTTCTTTGCGAAAATTTGACTCTTCTAAGGAACGAAAAGACCATATAAAAACAAGTTGATAAACAACTGAGATCAAATCATGTAAATTGTAGGCTCAGTTTAAATTATGTCTTTATCTTCGAGAAATTGGTCCAAAGCTTTTTTGTCTTCTTCATCGGGCTCTACTTCAATTTCCTCAAGTGATTTTATCTTTTCGTCCGAGTCGGTTTTATTTATCAGCTTTCCGTGAGTTTTATAAAAATTTAAATCTTCTTCAAAGGCAGCTTGATATGCTAGTTGTCGTTCTTTTAACTTCAAAAGCTCTAGCTTTTCATAATTGGCGATCTTCTTTGCGTGATCCGCAGCTAAACGAGATTTCAACGACTCCAGTTCACTTATTTTGTAATCTTTATAGCGAGCTAGTCTATACTTCTGATCTACTTTAAATTGTATTAAATTTTCCAATTCTTTACGAATTTTTAATTCGTCTAAGGCCTCTTCCAAACAAAGTATGTTGCGCTTTAAAGAATTCAGATCTTCACCTATTGTTGAGATACTCTCTTCTAGTTGCGGTAGAGTTTCACATAGACTGATAAAGTTTTTGACAGCATTCTGTTGTCTAGTTATACAAGTTTCATATTTTTCTAGTTGGTGAGCAACCTTCTCTGCCAGTTCAGCATTTTCTTGAGTGGTTTGATGACATTTTTCCCAATGAGTTTGGTGCCATGACAGTAGCTTGAAACCGGCGTTTAGATTGACACCCTTCACGGGGTTCTTGCTCTTCTTTTCTCCAATTGAAAGTTCCAACAACCTAGAAAGTATGAAAATTACGATCTTAATATAATATAATCCAAGCAAATATAAGACGAGAAAATAACGATGCTCAAAATAACACCTTTGAAATAAAATTGTATTTGCTCTGTCTCTTTCACAAAATCAACTTACCCAGATGACAAGGATTGGACGTTTTGTATTTTATCACGAAAGTTGTCAAACATGCTTGTTGTCTTCATCGGATTATTGATTGAGGTCAAAGGATTTGCTTAAGTATAAAATAACAATAAATTGACCACATAATAAAATAGAGATTTGCAATTCAGGACCAGATTTTTAATCAAAACAACAAATAGCAAATATCAGATATTTTTCATATTGATTACACAGCCATCTAGCGGCCCATGATTGATTGTATTGAATCAATATTGACTTTTGGAGTGGTGTGAATTCAGTTCTGTTTAGTTGACTGTTTTATTATTTTCATCATGCTTGAAATTATCAAAAGATCAACTCAAAAGATCAAAGATTGGTACCTGGTCTATGAACTAACAACGAATCTTTATATGCTAGAGCCTTGGGAAAAATTGTTATTCAGTAAGTAAATTCACTTCTTTTTCTGTAAGGATAAGCAATCACATTTCTTTTGCTACATAAATTATCATCTAATTCATAATTTGACCCTTTCTTTTCAGATTCCATGTTGTTGGTCTCAATATCACTGTTCATTTGGATTATGATGCCTAAATAATCAAAAAGAGATCACTTGATGCAAGATGCAATACATTCCATTTCCGTACCATTGCCGGTTGTGAAGGTGATTGAAGATGAAGATCTATCGAAGATGGTTTCAAAATGTTATCAAAAGTTTAGTAATATTTATGCATGCATTAATATCGGAATGAATTTTACCTTTTATTGTTATTTTATAAAATAAAAATTATTGAAATTCAATTATTTATAATAAATTAAAAAATAATTAAATTCATATTTTGTTATCACTCTAATGCTTCTTTTAATCTATCCTATGCGATTAGTCATCAATATTCAGTACTTCTTCTGTCACCTTGATAATAATATTTAATCCATCAGTTGATTGATTAGAATCAATTGATAATTAGAAACTTGAAAATTATCATATTAAATCAAAGCTGGCGCTAATAATGGAACTAAAATGGAGTAGGAAAGTGTCTCCATGGTAACATAATCTCTTCTTTGTGATGTGCTTCAGATTGGGTTTTCTATGCTTTGGAAGTTTATTTATTTGTGAAACTGAAATATAATTTGTTACAAAATCAACAAGCTGTCTCTACCGATTATATTCTTTTTATTAATTAAGATTCGAATGGTCTTAATTTCTGACCATCACATCTAATTGATATTATGGGAGACAGTGCTGAAATTGATTTGTATGCAGATGATCTTGACATAAATGAATTTAATCAGGTTTGTTAACATCTTTTTATACTTTGTGTCATCTTTTTTGTGTTGCTCATGGCTTCACTTCTTTCATTTGGGTTCCAGTTTCCTTTGGTTTTATTGGACCAGTCTTTCTAGATCTCTTTCTTTTTTTCCTGGCTTCTCTTTTCTATGGACCTATCTCTCTTTAAAATCAACTTTTAAACTGCATTATTTTTCAATGCTTTCTTGCTTTGTTTAATTAAACGCACTGACTTTATGCTTTCCTTGTTCACCTTTTTTATGATTCAACGTTCAAACGTTTTCACTTCTAATTTACCGTTTCTTTCTTCTTACTCAGGAAAACGAATATAATGACCAAGGTGTTGATCTTTATGACGATGTCATAACTTCTTCTGGCATTAAATCAAATGATGAAGATTATTCTGCAAACCAAGATTCAAATCATTCCCGACATACAAACAATGAAAGTCTTTCCAGCAATCTCGTGCTGGATAATCTTCAAGGGTCAACCAAAAAGATAGGCATATATGTGGGCAATTTAACATGGGTAAGTCCGATTATAAGTCGTCCAATTTTTATCAGTTGATTTCAAGTTGTTTGATTCTGGTCATTAATTAGAGTTTCTGTTTGTCTTTAGTGGACTACTGATCTCAATATAACTGATGCTATTAATAATATTGGAATCAATGATGTCATTGATGTTAAATTTTTCGAGAATCGAGCAAATGGGCAGTCCAAAGGATTTTGCGTTGTTACCTTAGGATCAGAAAACTCTGTTCGCCAAGTCATTGAAAAACTTCCCAAAGTGTAAGTTACTTGCAATTTGCACCATGAATTGGTTTACATTGGTTCTAAGCTAATTGTTATTTTTTATAGTGAAATTCATGGACAAAATCCTATGGTTACTCCATGTAGTAAAGCAAATTTGAACCATTTCGAAATGCAGTCACGTAAATTAATTCCTGGAGGATCTGGCAACCAACATATGAGCGCCAGCACAGCAAATCTTCGTCCTTTCAACCCCACTTCAGGAAGTCTCAGGCCACCATTGATGACAAGAACACCTCGGCCAAATGGTCCACTTCTAGGAGGAACACCACGAATGCCCTTGTCAGCTCAAGGCAATGGAGGACCATTCCAAGGTCAAACATCATGGCACCCTCTAGGAGCATCAAGGGGCCAAGCACCTCTTCATACAGGCTCATCGCGACCAGGAATACCGTTGATGAGACTCCCATCAAATCAAAGAGGAAATCCATCGCAACCATTACTAAGAGGTCCTGGAATGTCAGATCATCGTTCCAATCATCCATCTTCACTTTCAGACTGGGGAGATCACTCATCGCACCCAGGACATCCTTCCAATGCTCAACAAGGCGGTATGAGTTTAGGTCAAGGGCATGTTCAAGGAAGCGCTATGCCTCCAAGACCTCTAGGTATTTATTAAAAATTGTACTGATATTTCTATGTGCTAACTATTGTTTCTTTTTCTATCAAAAGTACCTTTACAACAAGTTCCTAATATGCCACCAGTAGGAGGACCACATTCAGGACCAGCTCCCCATGTTAACCCAGCATTTTTCAACCAACACCAAGGAGTTCCACCTAATCAACTCAACGATCCATACCGTGTACCTCCAGGTCCCAACCAATATGGCGATTACATGGGTCCTATGGGTGGAGATCCTTCTATAGGACCTCCTATGACTGAAGCTGAATATGAGGAAATAATGGCTAAAAATAGAAGTGTCTCAAGCTCTGCCATCAGTCGGGCTGTTGAAGATGCAAGTGCGGGTAAGTCAAAATTATATCTTATAAAATTTTATCTTTTAGTTTCTAATTTACTCTTAATGTTGATTAATCTTTAGGTGATTTAAATCGTGCTGTTGATACTCTCTTAACAGCAATTGCTTTAATTAAAAGATCGAAGGTTGCTAATGATGAGAGATGTAAAATTTTGATAAGCTCTTTACAAGATACACTTCATGGAATCGAAGCTAAGTCTTACGGATCAAATAAATACAAAGATAGGCCTAGATCTAGAGAAAGAGACAGATCTCGTGATCGAGGTAGAAGAGAAAAGTCTGGTCGTAGAGATCGATCACGAAGTCGTGAAAGAGAACGTGATTATCGAGATAGAAGTCGGGAGCGAGATCGCTACCATGATGAAAGGATACATGATAGAGACAGAGAAAGAGATCGAGATAGGGATCGTGATAGGGATCGTGATCGAGAGCGAGACCGAGATCGGGATAGAGATCGAGAGCGAGACAGAGACAGAGAAAGAGAGCATAGAGGCGGTCGTCATTAATATCGTAGGGACAACAGTTTGATTGTCGTTTTACTAATTAATCATAAAGTCTCTGTACAAAAAATCCAGCTATAAATGTGACTGAGATAAAAACGACCTGAAAGCTACAACAACCAAAATCTGACAATTATCTATATCTGGACCATCTGTGGAAGCTAAATCAGCATTTCATGAAAAAAACAAGACCACTAAGGAGCAAATCAACATTCTCACCGTGATGCATCAGACACATAAACGGATACTCCTTTCAGTGAATCAAAGCAACCCATTAACCACCATCAACACATAAGCTTCACAAATATTTTCAATCATTATCAAACTTGAAGGAAAACAATGGACAACCACACAAAAATCAAGGATGACCTTTCTCTTTTTTCTCCCCCTACTTAGCTTTATATAAATCTCCATTGAACCAAAATATTCTGTTACCCGTTTTTTCTCTTTCTAACTTTCTATCTCTCTATCTCACTCTTTCTTTCACTCTTGCTCTTTTCCTCACATATATCTATCTTTCTATTTCTTTTTCTCTCTTGACTTCCTCTTCTTTCCACTCTACATAATTCTTGTCTGATTGTAATTTTGAAATTTAAAACAAAACAGAAATTCTTTTGTTTCTTTCGTAATGAAAAAAGAAGAGACGAAAGATTTGATTCTATTCACATGAAAAAAACAAATATGGATATGAAGCCCAAAAAATCAGTCTTTAATTTGGTCTTTAATTTATATTTTATACACTGCCTTATAACTTTATTATTATTATTATTTATTTAACTTATTTTTTTATTTTATCTTTTTTGTTTAATGATAATTTTGATATAATTACTCCCATGAACTAATCGATGTTCGTAAACTTCCAGAGCTTGTATTTTGTTGTACATAATTATTCTTGTATTTATCTACCAGACTATTGAGTCGGGTGACAATAGTGTTAATATTGGTTAAACTGTGATCAATGGAGTTAATCTGTTTAGTATAATCATTGATCATGGTGTTAACCTGAATGGTCGCTTTCTCAAGTAACTCTGATGTTTGCTCATCCATACATGTTACCCTTGAAACATCGGGTAACTGTGTTTTAATGTGCCTTAGTATCCTTAAAATGGGTGCATTTGACGAAAGGCCATCAACCTGTGATCTCAATTTGTTTACATTTTCCTCAAATGCATCTTTAATTTGTGATAATTTTCCAGGTATTTGCAATGAATTTAAAACACTTGTTAACAATTGATTCTCAGCCAATTCAACCTTTTTAACCATTGTATTCAACGTATCCTGTGATAGGCTACGGATTTGTGCCAATGTTGTTATCATCTCATTACTGTTGTTATTATTACTTATATTATCATGATTATTATTATTGTTTTATAATCTGAGCCACGGTTAGATGAAAAACATCGTCCAAATAATGTATCCAACTTTTTATTAAGTCAATTGTTGATATCACCTGAAACACCGATATTACTGTCTCCACTAATACTATCACTTGCCTCTGTTGACACTCTGAACATCATTGTTACCTACCAATTCATATCCAAATCTAGAATTGGTTGTAGTTGGTGAGGTTGATGATGGTAATTTAAAGGTAGTTGAAGAATCACTCGGTTTTTAATTTCTTCCGGATGAAGATGAAGATGTCAATGATGATGATAATGAAAATGAAATTTATTGCTGATTTTCATGCTATTTATTTGCCAATAACCATAATTATTTGGAATAAAAGAGGCATGTGTAACAAATTTTGAGTATGCATTAATTTTCCAGTCCTTATAATGAAGAATCACAGTTTTGAGTTATTAGTTTACAATCAAAAATTGCAACAGACCAACGTTAATCACGAATCGTAGGTCCACTCAGAGATCAATTCCATATATTATATAATTGAACACACTGCACGTCAAATCCAATCAACATCAATGGTAAAGAAGAAAGTATTTAACAAAAAAACGATTGATAATATAAAATGATCATCATGCTCAGTATTTTCGTTGATTTTGCAGTCATCAACAAAAGAAACGACGAGACATTAAAAGTGGGCAGGTAAGTAACAGGTCAGATTGTAAATGAATCTGCATCTGGTGGTTGAATTTGAATAAATATTGACGGTTATGTTGTTAACTGAAGAGATGAGATGAAATGTGAATTAAAAGGACTAATCCTAAATAAAGTGGATTCACTTGTATCTTGAAAGTTGAGTTACAAGCATCACTTTCACAGAAACACATGTGGCCTTTTCCGTCTGACTCCTCCATGCAAACATGATCCACCATGAAAAGGTTAATCTGGATCTTTCCTGTACAAGTTCTTTGAATTATTTGCTGAGCTGTGAAAGAAGAGAAAATTTCATTCCATTAATCCAATGTAATGGATGACAATTTTTGACTCAATTTCCTTCATTGAGTGATTATCAATAGACTGATTGATTGATCTCTAATAGCCTTTAGAAGCTATCAATTCATGATTAGAGACAACAATATCTGGTGTCTTGGCACAAAAATCAGGACAATCATGAATCTCAATCTATCAAAGGAACACAAGAGGAAGTCATGCAGACACGTTCACAATACGTTCAGTCCTATCAGAGAAATAATTATTCTTTCTTCGAATAGCTCCAGAAATTTGTTGGCATCAAATCAAGGATCATTTCAACCTCCAGGAACTACAAGCTGGAAAATTAATTGCTTTCATTCATTACTAGGTAAAACAATGTGGTCCACTGGTTAACACTTTGATTATTATTGGGAGTCTCAGCTGGGTAAATCAACAATGAAAAATCGATCAACTAAATGAGTTACTAAGGTTATCTTATCCTTAAATTAATAACAAATAATACTTACGAGTGTCTTTTTTCTTAACTATTTTAATACAACAGCCTTCACATTGGGTTAAGGTAACATCTTTGTCTTCACCTCGAACCAAACTGATATTGAAAGGATCGCCACATTTAGGGTTGGTTTCAGTCGAACAATCATAACACCAAATCTTTTTTTCTGTCAGTTTAAATCAATTGTAAAAGAGAAAGAGAATATTTTGGAGTTACATTTTCGAACAGATTCACTTGCAAAAGAGCAGATTCAACTTGACTTGATGTGATAAATTACAGTTAATTTTTGCGAAACATAAATGCATGTGAAAAGGGTTGAAATCAGAGATTTAGGCAAAATGAGGAAAACACAAATAAGAGTTAATTATATTGAAATAATAATTTTAAGTTTATTCGTTGACATTAGGTTATTTTGCTATATTAATAAAAAAGTAAAATTAATTGATGCAAAACTGAACAATACTTACTTAAACATTCTTCTTCGGCAGAAGTAATTTTCGGTAAAATTAAACAAGTTAAAATTAATAGTTCGAATTTCATGATTAATGAGAACAAATTATATAAGACATTTAAACAAAAACAAATGATTAAGCTTCACAGGTTCGAACATGTCGTTCAGAATTTCATGAGTTTAGATAACAAACCATAGGTGTCTCTGTGCAATACTTGGTTTTAAGCAAGGAACCGGTTTATTCAAAAGATAACATAAGCCAAAAAAATTGTGAGTGAAAAGGGCTTTGGATTTTTGTATGCAATATAATATGTATAACACTATTTATTATGGTGGTTTAGTATAAATCATACAATTTAGAAAACTTGGCTATTTTTGATCGATGGTATTGTAAAGTTATATAAACAAAATAATTCGATAAATATTTATCATCACTAAACTGAAAATTTTTAATTTATATTTAAATAATCCAGTTTATACTAAACTGTTTAGTTTCCCCAATAATTCTTGCTAATTGTTCTTTGTGTTAAATTTATCTAAGTATTGATTTGATGTCCGAAAATTTATAGATTGAATTCACATAGTAAGCCCATACTTGACTATCTAGAATATATAAACTATTTTGACAAAAAATCATCAGATCATCCTACCTAAATTTGAGATTATTTTGAAAAAATCAAACATTTATTTGATCATTGAGTTTGTAGACAACTGTAAACTAATCCATACCTAAAGCTTACTGATAAAAAAGTATTCAGAATTACAACAATCGTGATGAATTTGAATAGCAGACAGTGCATTATATATGTTAGATAAATTTAAAAGTTCTCTAACTCTTTAAAATAACCTTTCACTCGAAATAGACGCAAGTCAAGTTGTTGCCTTGATTCGAGTCGGTGCAACCAGAATATCTCAACATTTGTTGTCATTTATTTTGGGCTAATCTACTGCCTTTACCTTTCCTTTGGTCATAATACAACCAAATCTTTGTTCAAATCTTATTGTGATCAACAGTGTGAAGTGAATATTTACCTGAAATTGATTGTCCATTAATCACTTGAAGCTTCAACTTCATTTTTACTCAACCTTCGATTGGATTACAGTTATCAGAGGAAAAAGCAAAATAAAGGTAAACCTAAATTTTCAGTTCGATATTTATTATCATCTATTTATCATCTTATTGAGAAATGCATTTCCATTGTAATCTTTTAGCAATCAGTCATGAATCATGATTCATTAATGGTTATTTTATGTCAATTAGTCACTTGCTAATTCCATTCTATTTACATTTCTTTTTTCATCCAGATTGATATTCAATCAAGTTTTTCTCAAGTCAAGTCTGGTTGTTACCAACCAATGGAACCCAATTGGGTTGACAATTTACCCGATGCTAACTATGAGTACATGTTTGGAATACGAAAGCCACACTTTGATCAACTTAGAGACATTATTGGTCGATCCGGAATTTACCCTGCTTCAGGTGATTTAGCCTTGTATCTGATTAAATTGAAACATGCTTTACCTAATCGCTTGTTGGCATCAATGTTTCGCTGTCCTTTGGCTGATTGCAACTCAAAGATTGACCGAGTTCGAAAAACAATTAGATCTGAGTTTTCCTACAAATACATTGGTTTCAATCGAAACAGTCGATCCTTTGTTATGACCAAGCAAACTCGTCGTGATATAATCCATGGATTAAATGTTCCAAAAGATGCAGTTTTCCTGATAGAAGACGGAATTCCCTATCTGATTCCCAATGAAAGCGATTCTTTACCCAAACATCTGTCACTTGAATCACTCATTGTTTTCAGTTCCACAGGTCACATTGTTGATGTAACCGGACCTGCAATACTTGAAGATATAAATGTTACTTCAAATGGTCGAACTCCAGGCGATGGATCAGCTTTCGATGGAAATGGTTATGATGATATTAACCTAAACCTAAAATATCGATCTGAATGGTTACAAGAAAATGATGTTATTGTTTCAAATGCAATTACTCGAGGTTTAGTTGAGTCATTTGTAACAAATGATTTAAACAATTACAATGGACAAAACACAACAAACACTGAATGTCTTCAACCTTTTGTCCCCAAAATGGGCAACTTCATGGACCAAAGTGAACTGGACAATTTAAGAAGCTGGATTGGTCTGGTTAGAGCAATAATACGACAAGTAAAACATCGTATTCGTAGTTTTAAAGCGATTGAAAAGCCTTGTTGGCAAGACAGGTTAAACATAAATAGCGATTTAATGAACGTTTGTGCCATGATCAACTGTTTTCAAATGATAAGCATTCCTCTGTGTGATGACACCTTTGATCCAACCTCTTCACCTGAATATCGTCGATGGAATTTCAGTCATTGTAAGCCTGAAGGACCATCACTTTTAGATGAAGCTGATTTTCGTCGAATATCAAAAAATCAAGTCTCGTTTCCACCAATGTCCAGAGAAGATATTCGAGATCACACTCTTCAAGTTTACCAAGTAACTCGAGGATATGGAATGATGCGATCGCTTTCATGTTCAAACTCGTTTGATTCACTAAACCCACCAAACATTAAAGATGTGTTCATTTGGGAACCTTGTGATTACCAAATAATGCTTAAAGTTGTACTTTCATGTTCACAATTTGATTCAGAATCAACAACCCATTTCTGGTATTCAATAAGACAAAATGAAACCCGAATTGGTTGGATGTGCGGTTGTGATGTTGGTAGATTGGGTTCGTGGTGTTGTCATCATGTTTCAACTGTATTTAAAGATCTTGGTTATCGTTATCATCCATTTGGCCCACCCAATCTTGCAATATTAGTACATTAGATTAATCAATTTAATTCATAATCTAGTTAACAAATGCCATGACTTCCTCACTTTCCTTGTCTCCTACACTCAAAAAAAATCTCAAATGCCAAAAAATGTCAAAACAAAAACTAAAAACTTAATTGGTTAACACACAAAAAGAGTACAAAAATAGTTTCTAAATGTAAAAAAACTAAAAATGAAAAAATGATCTCATATTGTTGACATTTGAATATCATTGGTGAAAACAAAAGTCAAACAAAAATGTGAAAATGTTATAAAATGTTATTTAATGTAATTTAATTATCTAATGTTAATGTTCAAACTGTCCCACCCTTTTCCACCCAAACATCAATTGTTCAAAAAAATAAATTGTTTCAATTGTATATGCTTTTACTATTCATTTATTAATAACCAGAAATCAATTAACCCAAAAAAGCCAAACCCAAATCCAAAACGAATTTACCGCTAAATAAAAGTCAATCTCATTTTACATCACCAGATGGAGCAAGTAACTCGATTTCGGTATCTACCGGTTTGTTGATTGAAAATGAATAACCTGTAAGTGAAGGAAGATTAAGTGAGTTCATCCAGTCTGGTCCACATTTTAATAAGTATTTTCTGCTTTTTGTTTACCCTGTTTTGACAAAATAATTAAACCACGCAATACTTTAATTAACTAATTAATCACCTGGAAGAAAACTCAATCAACTTGAGCAATCTTGTGTTTCCCCTTCGCCTTCCTATTGTAACAGATATCTTGATCATGCTATTATATTTTATGTACTTTGATTATGTGTTTCCATCTTTCCTCTTGTTTATACACTTATTTGGCATCTTTAATCAAATTCAATCTTAATAATATAGTAACCAGAGAGATTAGTTAATTGAAATTGTGAGATGAAGATTAACTGGTGAAACTTGTTAACCTGGAAAAGGTTAATTTACTTTACCAAACTCTATGCTACCAACAGTCAAATGTTTACCGTTTTGTATTTCAATTTATCATTGAGTAGTTTTTTTCAGGGAAGAATTGACTTCATCAACATTGATTCAATTCAATTGTTAAAAATTGATTCTCAAATTAATCTCTAGTTGATCATCCAATTCAATTGTAATTGATATTTAAACCCTAAAAAAAGCTTTGACCAGAAAATGAAAAACAAGCAAAGCAAACCACTAATAAGACCTGATTAAGGTTATTACAATATCAATATCAAGTAAAACTTGATTAGTTTACATGTTTGTAATTACATCACTAATCATGGATCAACTATAATTAAGAAGATAACTAAATTACTTGATGATGATTATGATATAAGAAAGGGCAGCAAAAAGTTTGAAAAACAATCGGAAAATGAAACAAAAAAAACAGCAAACTTGATATTATTAACTAAATGTATCTCACGCAATCAATGAATTTGATTGTACCAGCAATCGTATGATGGATTGAAGAGGAAGGTTAACAATTTGATCAACAGTGAAAGAGAAGCAGAGAAATCATTGTTTCTATCTAACCAAGGATGAAAGGTAAAAAAAGATGATGAAGAGGATGAGGATAAAGATGGCGATGGAGTAAAGTAGAGTAATGCAAAGTAATAGAAACGGCAAAGACAATGAAGGTAAGAAGCCAACAAGTTAACCATCAACATCAATTGAAACCTCTTTATTGTATACAAAAGAGACTGAAAATTGGTTGACCGATCCTTGATTGTATTTGCGCAGCAAATAATTAGTTGGCTTTAATCCCAATTTTGTACTCAATTTTGCGAATCAAAATGTTCACACAAATTAAGAATCGGTTTCAGCCCAATGCCCATTGACTGTGTAACAACTGTGTGGTTAAAATGGATTAAGGAGCGGAGAAGATGATTAAGAAGATGAACGAGAGGAATGATCGACAAGATGATCAGGAAAATGCTATTATCACTATGAATGCCAATGAAAAGCAGAAGCTCAAATTGAAATTAAAGCTAATATTGTTGACTTTTTTCTCCGTTTAACTCCGCTTTTCGGGTTTCATTGCTAGCCATGAAGGAATCAACAGTTGGTCAATTTAGTGATTAATTAACTTTGTGATTACTTTGTGGTAATCAATTGTCTTTGGTTGGGCTTAGTTTTAATTAAAAATAAGCCCAAGTAGCCCAACCACTGTTGGTTAACTACTAAATAATACAACAATTAATTACAATTTCCTTCTCCATTTTGCCCACTTTATCCTGACTTTGTCAATTAACTTGCAAGACAACAATTCACTAATCATTTAACCTTCCTTCAAAGTTTTTCAAAACGAGTCTGAGAAAATATTGAGTTTACTATTGAAACCGCAGACCAAAGAGACTCGAGATTATTGATCATCACTAATTGTGTCCATTAAAACAAGCAAATTATCCTCATTAAAC